CACCTAATTCAATGGGTGTGTGCCATTCTTGGAGAATCATCCGTCATGAATTGGCTGGGGGACATCAACATTTTGTCCAATTGTTCGTAAATTCCGAAGCAGCCAGTTACTTATTAGGATTGTATAGGTGTTCATGGTGAACTCCAAAACAGCCTCTTTACTTTACACATCCAAGATTCAGTGACTGGCGTTTAATAGCGTTATCAATTTGTGGACTTCGAATCACTTTCCAATTTGACTTGAAGCGGATCTCAGGGTATGGTTTGTGTTCTGAGGTACAATTATATTGAAAACTGCCATGTTTATGAGCTTTCCTTACACTGATCGAGAATTTTTGGTTCTACGACGATGCGGCTTGGGGACTGGAGTAACTTTGGACAACACATATTTCAGCGTGAGCTAACAGTAATTATAATCGAGTAATTAGTCGTTAAACTAAAGAGCCGTCGATAAGCGAACATCTAAAGTCATTTCAGCACTGAAATAACATGATGTCCATAGAAGTAGCACAGGGCGTAGGATATTTGTACTTCAGTTTGAAAAATGAGCTCTGAAACAGAGGTTAGCTGATAAAGAGCTGGGAATCGTTGTCAGAGACAATACCATGCAACATAACAGTGCGGTAACGGCTCTACTACTATAAGGGACATCAAAATTCAACGCCAGTCGACAAAAGAAGGCTAAGTTATGTCAAACACCGCACGAACATCATGCGGCCATTCGACAACAGCCCACGCTACTTGTAGAAAAGGAATGAGATTATCAGTTCTGCTGGTCTGGCAAGATTTTACCAAACTACATTGGTCCTTCTATAATCAGGCACCAATTGTACTTGGGAACTTCTGCTTAAATTAAATATGCGTGGCCGGTGGGCAAAATACGATGTTCGGCTGCAATGTGCAAGAATTGGACAATATGTTTACTTGTGTCTATAGTGGTTTATACAATGCGCAGCTTGCCAAGCACAAGGTAAACCCTTTGCGTCCTGAGTACGAGTTAACTCGCGCTTTTGAAGTGTGCTGATCCACTACGTACGAGTTAACTCGCAAATAAATTCGCGTGATACATCGCAGTGCATAGATCAGAGTACAAACTGTCGTAACTCTGTCAAACATAAACGCACCACGACAATTAATCCACCTTTGGAAAGGTCTTGACCTCATTTTTCCGGGGATTTAAAGTTCTTCGCAATAGGATAAAGATTTACAGAGCGGCAACAAAATCAACACGGAAATCGCAGCCCAGAGCGAACGCGGATTGTTTTGTTCATGACTTCGCAGTTTTTTGGAGCGTGCCAGGGGATTTCCCTTTGGCACAACTTACTGCAGTGTCTTGTTTAAAAGCCTGTCCTGCATACTTTAAGTAGAAGCCTGTTTTTGAATAGAAGCCTGATACACTGTCAGCACAAAAGCCTGGTTTAGTGGTGACATACATAGGGAAACCTGACTTGAATAGACTTATACGGCCGTAAGCACCTACTTTTATACGCGACATTACGGTATGCGTGATGGACAACAAAATAAAACGCTTGGATCTCGGCTTTGCAGCGCAGTTTGAATCGTGAAAATCGGTTGAATTTGGACAAGAAGCCGAACAATAGTGTGAAATTGAGTTGGTGTGCCGTTCCGAGGCACGGTGGAGTAGTTTGGTGAGGAGGGACGACTGCATAATATAGGCTGTGTGTAAGCCTTTCTGTCGATGGTTCATTTTGAAGTAACACTTTGTGTTCCCGAGACTATGAAGGGTGGCAGCACTAATTGCTTTTTGTACTATGTGAATTTTGGCGTTTCACGTGTCTAGGTTTCTGCTACGGGGATCCACATTTCGTGAGCATGGCTGGCAACAAGTTTGATTTTCATGTGGTGGGAGAGTATACACTTGCACATGCGACGGGTAAGGGGTATTCCATGACAATTGTTGCTCGAATGGAGATCGTCCCGATGAATAATTCCGCCAACTTCACGTCGATCACTCGCATAGCCATCACAGTGGGTAAGTTGGATTCATGACTGACACTGTTTTACTGCTGGTATTGGTATTGGTATTGATTTATTTGAATTCGGTATCTCAACAGTACAGTGTACAACTTGGGAAGATCCGAATGACATACCGGTAGATACATAAACATAAAAGTGGAGTAGGTGCTACAGTTGATCATTTTATCGCAATCATGCAATAGACATTCATTTTCATCATTCGCTTGAGAAGTTCGTCCAGAATAGATGTGCATTTTCGTACACTTATTGCCATTGGTTTTGCACATAACAGTTTGAACTGGTCACTCAAAATAAACATGTTTCTGAGTCAGTTGTACGTTCAAAGAATTCAATTTGGTTGATAATGGCCAAGGCTCATTCTCCCCAAATATCATTTAGAAAAAAGCATCACCGCTCACTTGAGATTTGGTTGGATCGAGTTGACTGTACGAGGTGGTTTGGCTTTTTTTAACATGGTTGTAAAATGACGTTTTTTCAGTCACTTCTAGACAAGCTACGTCCAAATGAATTGTTGCAAGTGGAAGTGCTATGCTTCATGCCCGTTGTGTCCAAAATGGGAATGATCCCTCTTTGGAAAGTGTCTTGAATCATGTCCAACTTTCATAGTATTCTCAGGATTCAAATAATTGGTGTGTCATTTTTTAACAAATTTGTAAAATGGCATCACAAACTGGGATATTCGGTCATTAATGTTCTGAAGTTGATAGGTATCACTTCAAGGATTGCTAGTGGATGAAAATGAATCTGTCAACAGAGGAGTGAACTGCATTGTATGCTGCGAAAGCCGTGTTTTTGTATTTGTAACTAGTGGCTGTGTTATACGGTGGAATTGGATAGATAGCATAGCATCGCAGCTATGTTTTCGTTCTCACAGAGTGTATTCCGTGACCTACTGTTCTTCATTACTGTCTCTAGTGATGGCAAGACGGCCTGACGTCGTCCAAAGGCCCTGCGGAAGCAATTCACTGCCCTCCTCGTCCATTCAGGGGCTCATTTTACACATTTTACACAAAATGGCAAAGCGCCCACCACTAGTTATACCAACGTGGCAGGGAGAATTAAATTATACGCACCAAATTTTCTGGTCAATGTTGATCTACGATAAAGTGGCTCTCATTTGCCACCACCCATGTTTCGATACCGCCATCCGGAGCAGAGAAACAGCCAGAAGAAAAGCAAATTTTACACATTTGTTAAAAAATGCCAAATGTTAAAAAAAGCCAAATCACCTCGTAACACCCTCAAGGATTAACCCATTCAGCGCTGCTGGGCCTTGCCTATGGTGCTCTGCATATAATGCTAAACAGAGGGCCAATAGAAAGTTCTAAAACTCCAGGGTTCTGGCAACTGGGGTCCTCAAATATTTTGGAAATGATTGCCAAGACTATCAACCACAGGGTGACAGAATCGATACAGTCCGCAATATTCGACACAAGTTTGCTCAAATTGCATGAAATAGGCTAAATGAGTGCAATTACAGCTGAAATATCGCTCAAAAGAGAAGAAAGAAAGAAAGAAAGAAGCATAGTGTAACCGAACGGGATTCGTACCGACGACCTATGGTACAAGAGCCAGGGTCATTGTCCAACTCATTAAAAGTGCTTTTATATACCAGACAGTGCCAGAAATCACTATTATATCCCGTGACGTCTATAGACGTCATCCCACGCACGGGAGCATTTTCCATGACGTCTATAGACGTCATCAGCGTTCAATGGGTTAAGGTGCAGATTGAGCTCCTAAGTCCTTGGGCGGTGAGTAGACTAGCTCCACTCCAAATTGTGTCGACGACCGAAGATCTCATTGGCTGCTTGGGTGTTTCCCGCCTTCCACGCCACGAGCTCCAAATTAATTGCGGGTTGCAGCATGGCTAAAAACATTTACCTTTTCCAAGCAGAACTTAAAACTATGTCATCTGTCTCCCAATCATGGTCTTAGACGGTACCTGTATGCCTGATGATAAAGAAAGGGAAAAGGTGCAAAATTTACATGCTACCTTGATGCCGCCCCTTGTCAACACCCATATATTTATATTTTTCCTATGAGTCCTGTTTGTTGGCAACTTTTCCTATAAAAGTATTGGCTGTTCAAAGGTTGATAACTTTACCTTCCCTTGGACGAAATCCATGGTCTTGAGCTTCCTGGAATGGTCTGGAGAAGTGGAACAAAACTAAACTCAGCTTTGGAGCAAAACCAAGTGGCCATGCTACAGTCCAGCAAACTTCATTCACTCGTTCGACGGATTTGAGCACGGGCAAGACACCAAATACTCAGGTGCCATTTCGCTCTCCTTCCACGTATGGACCTCCAATGGTTTTTAGGACTCCCAATATCCGCTACCATAATTTTTAATATAGTTTCTATGACAGCAGGTAGCGCAAAATGATCAAAATAAGGAAAATTCGCAGTCTGCGTTCTTTTTTTTTTCAGTGTCGAGTTGCGTAACTTAAAAAACCCCGGGGTCGTAAGCTTCGACGATTGTTTCTACCGCAAGCTGAGAGTTTTTTCTTGCAGATACATATTTTTTTAAAGAATTGACTGAGTTACTCTAGTTTGAACACACGCGGACCAGGCAAATTGCGTATGTACGCAATGCAACACTGAGGATGTAATAATGAAATAATCTGTACTTGTACTTTTGGAATTGATTATCCAAACAAAAGTCAATTCTCAATTGGGGTGAAACGAATACGAATATTGACTACTCGAATTTTCTTTCTGTTAACAAATGAACGAACGAATATTCGGTCGTTTACAACTGCAAAGTTTTCTACATTGATTTTGAAAGGTAATCATTGCCTTTTGTGAAGGGTATCCATTGTGAGAAATGTAGAAAGGATAAGGACATATGGATATGAGTTGAGAGTAACTGTCCACCACTGTGTCACTTGTCGCCTCTTGAGATCGACAATGGTTGGCTACCGAGCGGCAATCTATTGTCCAGGAAGTCGCCGGGCTTCTGCCTGACGATGCTCTTCTGCTCAATACTCACGACGAGGAATGTTACGCTCCTCGGATCACGCTATATGATGCGACCGAGCTAGGTCGAGATTCAGATGATGATCAAACAAGCGATCACTCCGACATGGACACGCTGCCACAGAGCGATGATGAGAAGAATCTCAATGATGCTGAATTGGTGACAGAGACAGTGAACGGCACCAGTACAGCAGCAGGTACGAAGAGAACTCTAAAGCCTTTCCAGCCAAAAGTGCCAGCGGATGTAGTAGAGCGCTATGCAAAAGTATTTGTGTTCGTTCATCATAACGATTATTCGTTCGGTTGAGATTATCGAACGAACATTCGAATATTCGGAGTATTCGTTTGACCTCTAATTCTCAATCATTCGTGCAGTCAACAAGGCATTTTGAAACTTCTCATACAGTATTGAATGCCACTCCCTGTACTATCCACTCCCTGTACTATCCTTAATGCCACTCCCTGTACTATCCTTTATGCCACTCCCTGTACTATCCTTAAAGGGGAAGTTATCGCCCATCTCCCGAGCCACACACATATCCAGGCACAGTACTGTTTGGGGTTTGGGCGCCTGTATTTGAACGCCTGCCACAACCGTGTGACAGGCGGATAGACATCATTGGCAAATGTGCATATCACGAGGTAATTGCTGCTCAAAAAAAAAAAAACCTCAAAGAGCGCAAGGGCAAAGAGTTGCTGTTGTGCCAACAAGCAGGAGACAAGAGTGCCCTCAACCTCCTTGGTCCCGCGTGCGATCGCCCCATGCTGAAAGGGGCAGCCAGGGCGGCTGTGCGTACAGCCCCGCTGGTTGCTGCGCCGCCTCGGCCGCGTGGCCGGCTTGCTCGGTCCACGGCGATAACTACGGTTTACCCTACTGCAAACCTACATTTATCGCCCATCTCCCGAGCCACACACATATCCAGGCACAGTACTGTTTGGGGTTTGGGCGCCTGTATTTGAACGCCTGCCACAACCGTGTGACAGGCGGATAGACATCATTGGCAAATGTGCATATCACGAGGTAATTGCTGCTCCTCCAAAAGTACCCTGCCCAGGGCAGCTTGGGTAGAAAGGCCCGCGACCCCGCCTGCTAGAGAGAAGGCAAGCCCGCCGTTGTGTGGATGTACTGCTTGTACGCTGAGCTACGCCATCGTCCGGCGGCCTGCAGCTGCCACTCTGGGGCGCTGCGCGAAGCCAGCTCCGTGGCACCCCCTTTACGCAGGTAGTGACTGCTAACTCCGGGTCCTAACGCCCTCTTCAGGTAGAAGTTGATGTCCTTCTGGCTGAGTTGTCTGCCGCTGTTGTAGATGAAGAAAGGGGCCCGCGCATTCGGCCATTTCCGTTTGCGCCGGTAATCCTGTATGGCGGTTACTGGGCACAGATCCTTGTTGGCGTTCGGGCGTAGTAGTATTGTGCCGCCGCCGCCAAACTGCGCTGTCTTGGTGGGGCCCAGCTCAATCACCACTCTGGTGTCGGAGGCCCGGACTTGAGCTACTGTCAAGGTGCTGACGCTTGGGGTGCTGGAGGCTGAGGCAGAGGCGTACTCGCTGACGCGTAGCAAGCCGTTGAACGCCGTCGCTACGGCGGCCCAAATCATGGCCTTATCCCCTGCGGGTGAGTCGATGTGCTCAAATGTTCCTTAAGCCGCAGCATATCTGATGTGCTAACCGCCGGGCGTTGCCGGCTTGCTTGGCTCAGTGGAGCTGCTTGACGTGTGTCGAATTGCTTCCGCTCAACGCCCTTCAGGACGGCCGTGAGGCGCTGGGAGCGCAGTCCCTCTGTGGATGAGCCATGAGACAGTAGGTAATACCTTGTTGCAGCCAGGTACACCTTGATAGTTGCTGCTGACACGGTCTGCGACAGTGATGTAATGAACCGGACAATGTCTTCATTGCCAGGATGTAGTGGATTAAACCCCGCTGCAGATGCGAATTTGGTATACGCCTTAATGCCAGGTTGATAGGTCTTGCGCGTACTCGGAGCCACCGACAGGGCTACCAGACTATTGGCACTTTGCGTTAGCTGAAGCGCCCGCTCATTTCCTGTGCAAAGCAGCCACCGCAAAGGAAAGACAGAAGATCACACATTGGTCAGCTTGACCGCAAGCAAGAGCGTGCATGCGCTGGGCAAATGGCCCTAGCTTAGGCGCCTCCCAAAATATGGTAGGTGGCATATTATAACCCTGACCGCGTTCGGCCCCATGATGTTACTGGCGCGCAATGCCAGTGCCTGGGGTGCAGTTCTGCATCGTGAACCCAAGCATGAAATTTGCATGACTCTAGTGTGACATTGCGATCTGCCATGCAAGGAGCCAGCTGCCTTGCTCTGCCGTCCCGCAGGGACACCGGCCTATTTCTATGCGCACGACATCCCGCTGGGACATCCGAGCCACAGTAACAACAGTGCTGGTGCTCGCCCAATATGCTCTGCTAATAATTGCAAGCCCAAGCCTCGCGGAGGCCTGTGTGTCATGTGGCGCTGCCCCGCTGGGGCCTCTGCGTTAATTAAGCCCAATATGCTCCGCATATAATTGCCCCTCCAAGCCTCGCTGAGGCCTGTGTGTCATGTGGCGCTACCCCGCTGGGGCCCTGCATTAGGGGAATCCAAAACCCGGGAGCCGTATGCTCGCTGAGCCAACATCGCACGCACACGCCGCTGTCTCGCTGAGACCCAGACATAGATAAAGCGCCAACAATTCTGCTATGTGTTTCGAAGTAATCTTACGAGTTTACTTGAATTGTGAATCTAACGTCCAAGCCGATACCCAATGCGCTGCCGCCACGACAGAGATAGCCATAAAGAAAACAAGACAAACATGTAGCTAATAAGCAGGCATACCATAAGCCAGCAGAGCCATGCATGCATAATCGTGAGGAAGATGAGAAGGTTGAGACGAGGGAGAGGGGAACAAACAAACACGAACAATGTTGGCACTGCTGCTCCTCCCGCCGCGGGGAAAGGAGATAGCGAGTCCTCACAAAATCTCCGGTAGATTACAGGGCAGACTCTCTGCTTCTGGGGCCAATGAGCGGAATCGTGACAGCTGACTTCTGGAAAGGGCATCGGCAATTGTGTTGTCCGCACCCGCAATGTGAGTTATGAGCAGAATGAAGTTGTTCAGAGCGGAAATGCGCAGGGCCTTCCGAATGAGCTCGACAACGCCAGGGTGCTTACAAGAGCCAGTTTTCCATGCCTGCACCACTGCCTTGTTATCGCAGTGGAGCAGAATCTTCTTGCCCAACCACCTGTGTCCCCACAGGGCGCATGCCATAGCGACCGGGACCATCTCGCGCCAGATAATTGCTGCTGAAGCCGCCTGTCCGGGAAAGGCTTCCCAAGAGCTGCTGAACCATTCACCTTGGAAGAAGCCGCCGAAGCCTGCACCTGACGCATCGGTGAACAGTTCCATGTCCGGCGCTTTGCACCAATAATGGTCTCTGATCAGAGCTTTGCCATTCCAGAGTGGGAGCATTTCCTGCCACCAGCGAATGTCTTCCTGTGCAGTTGCTGTCAGCGCTATGGTGTCCTGCAAAGCGGTTGCCGAGGAGCTGAGATCGATCAGCCTGCGCAGGAATGTCCTGCCGGCCGGGACCACCTTTGCCGCGAATGAGTCCAATGAGAGATAGCAGTTCCTGCTTTGAACAATGCTGCGTGATACTCCAGTTAGCAAGCCGGTGCCGCAGTTCCTGAAGTTTGGGTGCTGGGAGACGCATCTCCATGGCAATGGTGTCGATCTCCAAGCCGAGCACTGTCAACGTGGTATTGGGACCTGCCACTTTGTCTGCGCCTTCCGCCACTGGAATGCCCAAGTTGTCGAACACTTGCAAGATGGTTGCCATGTGCACCGCAGCGGTAGACGATGGAATAAAAGAGGCCGGGGGAGATACATTAATAAAATCATCTAGGTAGTGCTCCAGATTGTCGACAGAGTAATTTTTACGTAAGATCCAAGCAAGTGCGTCGGCAAAGCGATTGAATATGAATGGGGAAGAACGTAAGCCAAACGGTAATACCAGATCAAAGTAAAATTTGCCACGCCAGCACATACCTAGCAATGGGCGATCCTCTGGATGGACAGGAATTATGCGAAACGCATGCCGCAAGTCAACCTTGCAGAGAAGGGCACCGCGGCCCATTCGCCTAACATGGTCACAAACAGTGTCAATGGAAATCATGGAAAAGGAAACGGCTTCGCGATCAATAAAATCGTTAACACTATTCCCCGCCGGGGCAGATAAATGCATAATCAATCGGTGACTGCCATCCTTCTTGGGCACTACGCCCATGCCAGAGGTGCGCAGGGGGACAAAAGGAGGGGTGTCAAATGGGCCACTAGTGTGATTCAGCTTGCATTCCTTTTCTAGATAAGCGTCCACAATATTGGGGTTTGCCGAGGCAGAAGCAAGGTTATTCGAAACAATTGAGGCAGAGCGGTTACCGGAGAACTCAACACGACAGCCGTCGCGTAAATCAGACAAAATAGTATCAACAAGAGCACGATCAGGGTGGCCAGCTAGTTCAGCTTCTAAAGCCAAAACATTTACAGGGGTGAAAACAGATGTGAGACATGACTTACTACTCTGTGGCGACGAGGAATCGGGCAGGCTGGGCAGATTAGGCAGAGCTGCGTGAGGGACACTCGATGGCCTTGTGAGCCCCTTGGCAGAAGGTGCAGCGGTGCAAATACGAGCAGTTGGCGAAGGTGCAGCTGCCCTTGTTGTACTGCTTGCACACAGGTTTCGGCACTGCATTGCCGCCGGGGGCACGAAAAGGCGCTTGCGGAGATGCCTTCGCCAGGCATGACGCGGCAGAGTGGCCAGGCCTCTTGCATTTGCTGCAAAAACTCAGTGCCTGCCCGGTAAAGCACTGGGTATATAGCTCGGTGTGCATATCTCCTATGCTGAGGGTGTGGTCCTTTGCCATCACCTGGCGCAAGAGCACGTCGTACTCCTGGACCGCAGCAAAGCGGTATTTTTGCGCGGCCTGGATAATTCTGAGCTGGTGTTCCAGGAGGCCACTGCAAGGACCAGGAGCGCCGTCACAGGCAATGATACTAAATATCGACCAGGCCTCGGTCCAGTCCACCAGTGTCTCGATCTTCCTCCGTGGTGTGGACACTGTGGAAATGAATACAGCCGAATCTGCGCTCTCGTCCAGGCGAATACGCTTGGCAGGAGGTTCAGACGAGACGGCACGACTGGGCAGGACCGAAGCCAGGTCAACATACTCAACGCTTTTAATCTTGCGCATGATGTCCACTGACACGTGGGCCACACAAGAGGGCAGCCTGGGCGCCACAGGAAACATACCTTGAACACTCGTCGCGGCCTGGTCCTCCACCCTTGGTGTGGGGTCCGCTGCAGTGTGCTGCTCCTGCGAAGTTGGCGCAAGCTGAGCTAAAGCAGCAGAAACTGCGGAGGCCGTTGCCTCCCTGATGACGGCCAGCTGAGTCTGTGAGAGCTCCATGATGAAACGAAAACCTCAAAGAGCGCAAGGGCAAAGAGTTGCTGTTGTGCCAACAAGCAGGAGACAAGAGTGCCCTCAACCTCCTTGGTCCCGCGTGCGATCGCCCCATGCTGAAAGGGGCAGCCAGGGCGGCTGTGCGTACAGCCCCGCTGGTTGCTGCGCCGCCTCGGCCGCGTGGCCGGCTTGCTCGGTCCACGGCGATAACTACGGTTTACCCTACTGCAAACCTACATTTAAGGCAAAAATTAAAATTTCACCAGTTGTAGTCTTCGGGGTGCTGAGTCGAATGGTCTTGGTTCGAGAAAGCTGAGACGTTCCCTTCCTACTTGAATCCCAATCGAACTCGCGCACTTCCACCGAAACTGGGTGACTGCGCCCTACTAGATGGGGATTTGTATGCAAAATGTCACTAAAAGCGCCATTTCGTTCTTATAAAAGCACGGATGACCGCGATTGGCCCATATGTTGTAGTCTTTTGGACGCTGAGTCGACTGGTTTTGGTCCGAAAAGGCTGCGATGCAGCGTTCCTCCTTTATTCCCAATCGAACATGGTTGAACAAGCGGTCACGTGCTCCTGCGTACGCCAGTCACCTGGTCACCGTGCCTGCAGGGTACAACTTACTAGCCTGTTTGACCTTTTTTGGGTGCAGTCCTGTCACTCGAGTTGAACCTTGGTGTGAAAGTTGTCGCCCGCTGGCGTGGTGACCAGGTGATTTGGGCACCCAGGAGCACGTGACGGCTTGTTCAACCATGTTCGATTGGGAATAAAGGAGATACGCTGCATCGCAGCCTTTTCGGACCAAAACCAGTCGACTCAGCGTCCAAAAGACTAATGCCACTCCCTGTACTATCCTTAATGCCACTCCCTGTACTATCCTTTATCAGAAGAGAATGAGCGCATATACATGCATAGTTATGAGACGTGCATTGTATTCCGGGTGTACTTTGTCTATTTTTACACATGTGATCTTGCTGGAATCTTAGCTCAAGACAATAAAACGGACACATTGGAGGTCTACTCGAAACAAGGACAGATTGAGGTTGAAGGAAGGTTGACCTCACAGGACATTGAACGTGGTAATGACAACTTCCATCTTCAGCCCAGTACAAACAGCATTATTGCCCGCATTGGAAGCGTCGGGGCAAACATATCAGTCCAGAGCCATCCGATTCTAGCTGTTGCCTTTCAAAGTAAGTCAGACCTTGTATTTTCCACAAGTACTACGGTATTTTCTGGGGCGTTAGCCGCACCAGGGTCTATGCCCCCCCCCTCTCCCTTCCCGGGCCCAAATTTCATATCTTTTTTGACATTCCAAGGACCGTCAGACCTCGCTTATCCAGTCCTCTTTTATCCGGATCCCTCGCCTTCCGAAATAAATTTGTTGCTTACCGATATCCAGCATATATCATGGATACATACAGTATCTGTGTTCAGTTATCCGGTCCTCTCACCTATCCGGATATCTTTTGTGGAACACGGATGTTTGCAGTTAGCGAGATCTGGCTGATAAGCCGTCCGTCAGATTTTGATTTTTTTGCCGTCCAAACTTGATGGGTACTAGAGTGCTAGCACATGTCATACAAGATGTTTACCAATTCGAGAAGCACGGCTGAATATCCAGGAAAATGTCTTTTTGTTTATCACTCACTCTGAGCTGACAACATAAAATGATTTTGTGCATGAAAAAAAATACACCAAAAGAAGTCCACTGACACTATACATGCATATTGTGCATGACACGCTGTGTCGCTGGTTGATTCATGGCCAGCATTTGGAGTCAAAGGCGCAGGGGCGATTTTTGAGTTGTTAAGGCATTTAAAGGCACGGCTAACTCCCCGGAAAATACGGTATCTTTAAGGGCCTTTTCACACGTTTGATGTGGCTGGCGCATTCGACCGCGTCTCTCATGTAGGCGTTTTGCACAAGGCACAGTGCTATGGTGTAACTGGTCCACTTCTCGCTTGGCTGAGGGATTACCTGACTGATTGTCACTTGAGGGTTGCAGTTGGAGGTGAACTTTCCAGTCCATACCCGACCAAAGCTGGCGTGCCGCAGGGCAGTATCCTTGGTCCCACCCTGTTTATCCTCTACACCAATGATGGCGAGGACCACCTCCCACCAGGTATGGAGCTAGCAGCCTACGCTGACGACACCACTCTCTTCCACTGCCTCACATCAAGAGCTGACATTGACTGTGGCTCCGAGCTCCTCCAGCAGGGCATTGATGCGTTTTCCCGTTGGGGACATAAGTGGAGGATCAAATTTGAGCCCTCCAAGACGCAGGCTATGTCTATAGGCCACCATCGCCAGCCCTGGGAGCTCCCTCGAGCAACATTTGATGGCACACCGGTCAGTGAAGAGAGTCGGCTGAAACTCCTGGGAGTCACCTTTGACGACACCCTGAGCTACTCCTTCCACCTCCGCTCCCTAGCTTCCCGTGCTAACCAGCGGATTGGCTTCTTGAAGCGAGCGTCTCCCATTCTGGACGCCGAGAGCCGCCAACGCGTCTACAACGGCTTTGTGCGACCCACACTCGAGTATTGCCCCTTAGTGTGGATGGGCTCACCCTCGTCCCATCTTAAGAAGCTGGACCAGATCCAACGAAGGGCCCTCCACATCATCGGAGCAGGTACTTGGCTCCCTAGCCTGGCACTCCGTCGCCTGGTAGCTGCACTTGCCTATACCTACAAGCTCTGCTATCTAGACGCATCCAGCCCTCTGAAGCAGATGCTGCCTAAACCAGCCACTCACCGTGCCCCCGAGACAAGACCTACCCGGCAGTCTCTCCAGCTGCAAGATGTTCTTAAAGAGCCTGATGAAGTGTGTCCGTTTTCTGAATATTATCGTGTGTTTGTCTCCGAGTAAACTGGATACCTTACTGTAAATAAGCGTTTTCAAATGTGAACACATTATAACCTGTACTTTAAGACCACCGTTACTAGAGACCAGCCTGGTACACATGCCCACTTACTCAGATACGGATGCTCCAAGGATGCTCTCACATTCAAATATACACCGTGACTAGCGACCACCTTCTCAACACGACAAGCGGCCACCAGAATGCCAAAGCACCCAGGCAGACCACAATGTTCAGGTTGTTCAACACCAACATTTTTAAAAAAATGTCTCCGCGGAAGCTTTTTTTGCATGTCAGTGACAGGAGTACGTTTGATTTATGTCTAGATGTGCCCGTTTCTGTTGCTTGTAGTGCAAAACAATACAAACTTCACCGGTCTGCTTGATATTGACCATAATGATGACATGGGTGGTGGATCCACAACCCTCCAGGAGCAAGCAAAGCAATGTAAGCGGTTGTTGTAATTTCTATATACATGTACCGTATTTCCCCAGTTATAAGTCGCACCCCAATTTTCAGGTTTGAGCCATATTGATTTGATATATTGACTTCAATAGTAAGTCATGCTCGATTGTAAGTCGCATCCCCTCTTTTACCCTTGGATTTTAGTGTGCAAAGGTGTGACTTGTATTCGGTGAAATACGGCAAACCACCTCAGGCCACTCCCGTTGGTGCTAGACAGTCAAGTTCAAGTTTCTAAATCCTGGAATTTTTCGAAATTTCCTCTTTGGGTTTCCCTCGTATGACACCTGCTGATCCATGGTTGCAAGTAAATAAGGCCATTGCACTCAAGTTGGAAAACTGGCTTTGATCAGTAGGGGAGTCTGCTTGTGTCATGCTCATAATAATGTCAACAGTACATACCCTCCCACCAGAGTGTGCAACGGCTCATCCAGCTCTGCATAAGGTCTTGGTCGAGTAGTTAGATTCGCTGATGTCATGTGTCACGCCCCACACCAGAGCAAGGCCAATCTCGAGGGCACCATTGTCTTTGATCAGACAGTGCTCGTGACTCCCCAGGTTCCCCTCACATCTGTACAGTATTATGATGCAAAGATCTGATTACGCTCGACCAAGCCCCTATGCAGAGCTGGATCAGATGTTGCACACTCGGGGAGGTTATCCACTCTTGATAATATGGCCCAACTTCCGCGGAAACCAGGCTTGGCGTGAAAACAATTTTTTGGGAAAATGATTATTAATTTTGTAAAAAGGGTGTCGCGTGGACACTCAACTGCAGCGAAGTGCAACCAAAGAGAATCGTCCTTGTTTGAAGAAGTAGCAACCATAGCCGCCTCGGGTTTCAGCAATCAGAGAAGTCGCAGGGCTTCCTGAAAAATATTCCTTGCGACGACTCCTCTAGTCAATACGAAGAGTTTTGAGCAGATCAAACTTATTCCACCTCCTACACTCAGGGAGGACGACATTTCTTAGGTAGCTGCTGCTGTGGGTAATGGTGAAGAAATCGTTCCCAGTTAGAGCGGAGATGACGATAGCAAGGAAAATCTGGATGACATGATCCAGCGGATTGAAGTACGGGGACATTAGCTGCTTCTGGGCGTCACACAAAGCAAACGCGAAACAGAGCTCATACAGGGTGCAGTAAGGCCTCATTTACACGACAACGATTGAAAAACGTTTTTCAATCGTTTTCAAAACGTTTTTTGCTGTTTACACGAAAACGATAATCGTGTACACTGCAACACTTTTTTGGCGCGCAATGGTCACGTGCAAAAAGTTGGCCTGGCGCAGGGTGGTGGCGGCATGTTTAGAGTACAAGGCTCGTAGAAGCAACATGTTTTTGCCGTTTACACGAGAACGAAACGGAACGAAAACGATTGAAAAACACTTTGAAGCCGATTTTCGTTTGAAACGTTTTTGAAACGTTTTTCAGCGTTGTCATGTAAACGCTCTGATCAAAATCTGTGGAAGCGTATTCTTTTGAAAACGTTTTTGACAAAAACTTTTTTCAATCGTTGTCGTGTAAACAAGGCCTAAGTTTGCGAAGAAAAAGGCTGCAAGCGCGGTATGAAAACTGCTTTGAGTTGAAGTCCTTCTTGGCTCATTCGCGTTCTAAATGCCAGGCGAATGAGCGAGCAGATCCATAGATGCATACTATGAACAGTGGGAAGGTTTGAAAGGCTGTGGTCTTGCTTGTTCATGAACAGTTGTACTAGATTTTGGTGTGTCGCGCCAGAGCACGCCAGTACATGTAGTCATAGTTGGAATGTGCTGAGTGAGGAGCAAGCAAAATTCCCTGCAGAACTGTGTATGGCCATTACAGCCTGCAGCACCAATGGGCTACAAGAAGCCTGCCCCCACATACCTGCCTTGTCATTTCATCCTATGCCTTGGCGGATAATGCTCGAAAAGGTGGCAGATTCTGCTTTTTTTGCACCGAAATTGGCAGAACCATACAAACCTTATGGCGGGCAATTCCTCGAATTCTGCTCCATTTCTTTATCCACATACCAAACATGCATGAAACTTACCAGAAAAAGTACTGAATTCTGCCAATTTTTCTGCCGGCATTATCCTCTAAGCCCTATTTCACGCAAACAAAAATCATCCATCTCTCTTCCTTCAGTCTGGTGGATCTCCCTTACATTTCCCTCCTCTGATAACATGTTTATGGCTTTGGATTATTTTAAAATTTACAATACCCTTCTGTATTTGAGATACTATATTGCCACTATGCGTCGACCCACACCTGTAGTAATTTGTTTCCTGACCTCCCATGCCCTGTATAAGCTGAATTAGGAAAAGCCATTTTGTGAAATCATCACCCTAACCCTAATTTTTGCCGAATCTGGGCCATATACATGTATGGTTCAAAATAGTTTAGAGTGCGACACCAAACCAAAGCCTCCTTTTTAAAAAACAGCCATTTCAGATAATTTTGATCTGCGTGACATGTTTCGCAATGCCATCATCACTCCCTAACAGGCAACACTACAATCCTCCGAACAATCCTCTTATTGGCGATGGTGCCATCATCAGAATAAAGAATCCACACAAACAAAGCCACACTCCCATTAATGGTATATCCAAAAAAAGGGCAGTTCGCTGTACTCCTCGTGTCCACAAGTAAGGCGCAGAGCGGTACAGGATGGACGACACATGCTTTATTTATGAACAAGAGAAATCCAACAAACTGCCGTTTTTGATATGTTCTGGTAGAAAAGCGCCCGGTTAGTGTATTGTGGACGGTATGCAGTGAACGCATTTGATATGCTTGGATTATGGCTTATTGATTATCTGCATTGGTTTCCACACCACTGTGGAATGACTGTCCAATCTAAGTCGCAAGTCTCTCAATCTAAGTCGCAAGTGTGTGTGTGTATGTGTGTGTATGTGTGTGTGTGTGTGTGTGTGTGTGTGTGTGTGTGTGTGTGCTTGGTACAGTAGAGGTTGGTTGCATTTTTGAGTGCTCTGACCTCAAGTCGTTTGTGTCACGTAACACAGCCCTGTCCGTGTGGTGTAGACCAGGGCAGGGCTGTGGTGACCTCCGCCAGTGGCCTTGCAAGCTACTGCGGAGTTGTTGTTGCGCACTCACTGCACAAGTAGTCGGAAAGTTCATTTTGAGAATTTCGAAAATTTGAATTTGGAATGGTGAGGAGGACGACGACGAAGTCCAACCAGACAGAGAGGAGAAAGGAAGGAAGTGGTGGTGGTGGACGTGGAGCTGCTCTCGCTTTCGCGACGTGGAATGTTCGTTCCCTTGTCGAGGACTCTGGAGACGAGCGGATCTGCAGAAAGCGGCAAAATAATAATTTGTCGATCGATCGTAAATTGGATTTCTTGGTCGCGGAGCTTCGGAGATATGGGATTGCTATCGCTGCGATCCAAGAGACAAAGTGGTTCGAGTCCGATGTCTGGAGAGCTGATGGATATACGTTCTTGCACTCAGGTCGTCGTCTACCAAATGGCGATGGTCCTGCGCGTAGGAACGAAGGTGTTGGAATTATGCTGAACCCAGGGATGACGGAGGCTTGGAGACGTGCTGGTGAGCAGTGGACCGCTGTAAGTTCGAGATTGGTTGTGGCCCGTCTCAAGCTCGCGGAGGCGGGGGAACTTCGAGTGCATGGCGAATGGCAGAGAAGGAATGATTTGTATGTGACAGTTGTGAGTGCGTACGCACCAACCAGTAAAGCTACTGCACCCGTCAAAGATCATTTCTTTACAGATTTGCAGAGGGTGGTCGATGGTGTGCCAGCCAGTGATGTTCTGTTGCTGCTTGGTGACTTCAATGCTAGAGTTGGCAGCAGCAATGACGCAGGAGACGAATGGAGGGCTGTGTTGGGGAGATACGGTCACGGTGCGCGGAATGATGCTGGTGAGCGGCTTCTGATGTGGTGTGCTACCAACGGGCTGTCTGTAATGAACACCCATTTCCAGAAACCTGCGTCGAGGCGTGGGACCTGGATGCACCCAGCTACGAAGCAAACCCATCTCATAGATTTTATCATCATGAGGCAGCCACACCGTCGCTTTTGTCTTGATGTCAGCGTAATGCGAGGTGCCAACTGTTGGACAGACCACCACATGGTTCGCAGCAGGATTCTACTTGATCGTCCATTGTGCCGCAGGCCTCGCCCTGTGCCGAAACCCGCACCTGTTGCTGTCGGAAAGCTGGGTGACCCGGCCGTTCGCAAGAGCTTTGCTGAACAAATTTCAGACAAGCTCCCTGATACTGCTGATGCGGACACTGCAGCTGACCAATGGCAAGCAGTGAAGGATATAATGTGCAGTACAGCAGAGGATGTCCTGGGACCACGGCAACGCAGGCAACCCGACTGGTTTAAGGCGAGTGAGACTGTGCTTCTTCCGCTGATTGATATCAAGAATTCCGCTGGAGATGTCATGTTGCAGAAGAACACCGCGTCTTCACGCAAGAACTTTCGTCAGACACAACGTGAGGTGGAGAAGGCTGTAAGGAGTGCCAAGGAAACTTGGATTGAAGACATCGCATCCCAAGCTGAAAATGCTGCTAACAATTGTTCTGTTCGTTGGGCTGCAGTCCGCAAGTTGCAGACGCTCCATCAAGGCCGCCGTCCAATGCAGCCGTCTGCTGTGTATTTGGAAGATGGCACGTTGAGTGATGGACCCGAGGCTGTCAGTGGAAGATGGCTGCAGCACTTTCAGGGTGTCCTGAACGTTGAGAGTGAGTTTGACGCAGCTGTGGTCGAGATGATGGCGGATCGCCCTGTTATTCCTGAGCTGGACCAGCCACCCACTGTTGCTGAGCTGGAGGCTGCACTGCGGACCATGAAAGCGGGTAAAGCTGGCGGTCAGTCGGGCATTCTACCGGACATGGTCTTACATGGTGGCAAAGACCTACACAGTCGCATCCTGACCATCATGCGTAAATCCTGGCTCGAAGGCACTGTAGTCGATGATTGGCGTGATGCAGTGGTTGTGCCCATCCCCAAGAAGGGAGATCTACACCACTGTGATAACTGGCGCGGCATCAGTCTGTTGGACGTTGTCGGCAAGCTGCTTGCCCGTATTCTGCAGGACCGCCTCAAAGCTATCGCTGAAAATGTCTTGCCAGACTCTCAGTGCGGCTTCAGAAAGGGACGTGGCTGCGTCGATATGGTGTACGTCGCACGGCAGTTGATGGAGAAGACGTTGGAGCATGATTCAGATGCATATGTCCTGTTCGTCGATCTGAGAAAGGCGTATGACAGTATCCCGCGTGCAGCGCTGTGGCAGGTTCTCCAAAAGCTTGGTGTTCCGCCGGCAATGCTCCGCATCATTCAGTCACTCCACAACGGCATGACTGCTTCTGTTCGGGTGGATGGCAAGCTGACTGACCCGATAACTGTGCGGAATGGATTGCGTCAGGGCTGCACTCTCGCACCAATGCTCTTCAATTTGTACTTCTCTGCCGTCGTTGCCAGTTGGAGGTCCAGTTGTCCGGACGCTGGCATATCCTTTCGATATAAAGTCGGGAGGAAGCTAGTAGGTGACCGAACGGCGAAGGGCAAGCTTCTGTCATCAACGGTCACAGAATCCCAGTTTGCTGACGACGCTGCACTCTACGCAACATCTCGGCCTGCCTTCGAAGCGATGACTTCCAGCTTCATCACATGCGCAAGCAGCTGGGGCCTGACGGTCAGTGTGAGAAAGACCAAGGGTATGGCTGTGGGTGAGTCTGCTGATCGCCGTGACGTTGTTGTTGGAGCAGACACGATTGAGGTGGTGGACCAATTCACCTACCTTGGCAGTGTGCTCTCCTCGGATGGTCTTGCCTGTGCTGATGTCCGCTCTCGCCTTGCGAAAGCCTCAGCTGTGTTCGGAGCCCTCAAAGCTCCTGTCTTTGATAACCAGACCCTGTCGCTTCGCAGCAAGAGGCGTGTCTATGAGGCTGTCGTCCTCACGACCCTCTTGTATGGTGCGGAGACGTGGACCACCAAGGCAGGCCACCTCCAGAAGCTAAACACGTTTCACCATCAGTGTGTTCGGTCCATTGTGGGTATCGGCCGTCGTCAACAGTGGGATGATCGGATCTCAACGGCCACATTAGCAGCTACATTCGGTGTTGACCCTGATATCACCCGCATCATTCGTCGCCACCGGCTTCGTTGGCTGGGTCACGTCGGCAGGATGGACGACTCACGCGCACCGAAGCAATTGCTGTTCGGCGAGCTGCCTGCCCCCCGTCCTCGTCACGGCCCGAAGAAGAGGTGGCGAGATGTGGTATCGACTGACCTGGCGGACCTCGGCGTGACCACCTGGCTTGAGAGTTGCCAAGATCGTCCCGGCTGGAGACGAGTTGCGAGTAGCACCCCACCGCCACGGCCCGCTCCTGATCCTCTTCTATGTGTCTGTGGACGCCCATTTCGTCGACCAGGAGACCTGAAACGACATGCCAAGTTCTGCGCTCGTGTTCTCACTTGAACTTTCCGACATTCGCTATCATTGCTTACGCAATGGGCAAGATCAAGGTCAAGGTCAAGGTGTGTGTGTGTGTGTGTGTGTGTGTGTGTGTGTGTGTGTGTGTGTGTGTGTGTGTGTGTGTGTGCATGTGTGTGCATGTGTCTGCGTGTGTATGCGTGTGTGTGTGTGTGTGTTTGCATGTGTGTGTGTGTATGTGTGTGTATGTGTGTGTGTGTGTATGCATGTGTGTATGTTTGCATGTGTGTTCATGTGTGTGTGTGTGTGTGTGTGTGTGTGTGTATGTGTGTTCGTATGTGCGTGTGTGCGTTTGTGTGTTCGCATGTGCATGCACACCAAACTCACAATTCCAACGTCAACCTAACGCTAACAGACCAGGTTACGTCGACCCAGAGTCCATTTGCCTACTTCACACCGAATTCATACGAGCACTTCAACCCGACTAAGCCACCAAACACAGGTACAGTGGATACATCATCAGTTAATGTCACTGAATGCAGTCGCGACACCGATTGTATTGCCGACTATCTGGTCACCGGAAACTTAGCCCTGGCTCAGAGCACTCGGGAATTTAATCAGGAATTCAGCCTCGCCAGAAATATTTCTTGTAAGTCCCTTGCCAAAATATCCACATTCAGTATATGCTAGCGATTGCTAAGACGAGTCCCTTTTCAGGGACGTGAACATTCCGCATTGGCTTGCAATTGTGGGAACAGGTCCCCGGTTAGTATTTCAAAACTTACTCCTGATTGTGCAGAAAGATCAACCCCAAAGCTGTCCACATAAGGATTTGGCTTGCAATTGTTGGACCATTTCCCTATGCAATTGTTGGACCATTTCCCTATGTAACGGTTGGACTATGTCCCTATGCAATTGACCATATCCCTATGTAATCGTTTGACTATATCCCTATGCAATTGTTGGTCATTGTCCCTATGCAATTGAACATATCCCTATACAATTGACCATATCCCTATGCAATTGAACATATCCCTATACAATTGACCATGTTCCTATGTAATCGTTGGACCATGTCCCTATGTACTCGTTGTATCATGTCCTCAAGCAGCGATTTTTTGCAACAAATCACTCAAACTGTACATAATTCTATTTTCTAATCCAGTAGTTGTACATTGCATACTGTCAGGGAGCATTGAAACATAAACAACACATGTAACATACACGGATATTCCCAAGTGTATGTTAGAGACATGCATTCCACAAAGTACTTGGATTGACACAGAAAATCCCTAAGTTTTGACGTATGACACAAACTTGTATGTTGAAAGGTGGGCCGGGTTGGAGGGCAGGATTTGATAATCCAGCACCCTTTTTTATCCAGCAGAAAATGCCATTGCAAAAGGCGCCGGATTAGAGAGGGGCGACTGTACAATTGTTTGTAATTCTCCCTACACAATTGTTTGAAATTCTCCCTATATAATTGTTTACAATTCTCCCTATACAATTGTTTGTCATTGTCCCTATGCAATTGAACATATCCATATACAATTGACCATATCCCAATGCAATTGAACATATCCCTATACAATTGACCATGTTCCTATGTAATCGTTGGACCATGTCCCTATGTACTCGTTCTATCATGTCCTCAAGCAGCGATTTTTTGCAACAAATCACTCAAACTGTACATAATTCTATTTTCTAATCCAGCAGTTGTACATTGCATACTGTCAGGGAGCATTGAAACATAAACAACACATGTAACATACACGGATATTCCCAAGTGTATGTTAGAGACATGCATTCCACAAAGTACTTGGATTGACACAGAAAATCCCTAAGTTTTGACGTACGACACAAACTTGTATGTTGAAAGGTGGGCCGGGTTGGAGGGCAGGATTTGATAATCCAGCACCCTTGTTTATCCAGCAGAAAATGCCGTTGCAAAAGGCGCCGGATTAGAGAGGGGCGACTGTACAATTGTTTGTAATTCTCCCTATATAATTGTTTACAATTCTCCCTATACAATTGTTGGTCATTGTTCCTTTGCAGTGGACAGTTATTGCACTTTGTCCCTATGTGATTGTTGGACCATGCCCCTATGCAATTGTTCAACACTTTACTTGAGCATACTGGATCGAATCCCTCTGAATGGATTTTCACGTGCAGATCTCGTCGTGGTCCTTGGGGAAAGCCCCATCGGCATACGTTTTCACCTGCTGAATCTGCTTGCAACTCTCAGCACATAGTGTCGATTTTCGTACAGCAAAATTACATGATATGCTTGCATATTTGTAACTTAAAATTATATTCAATCTGCGGACAGAACTGTTTCGACCTTTGTGGACTCAGCTGCCGAGCATAGAGAAAATGAGGCAGAACTGGGTATTAATGAAAAATTAATTTTCCATAGCCAAATTTAAACCGGTCCGGAACATACCGTGCCAGCATGATCCAGGTCCAGGATAGATTTAGGGTGCGTTTGGTTGGTACATTTTTGACCACCCAGGATCAAAGAGCTGGTGCAATTGGATCAACCTCATCCTAACCAAACCATGCAACACAAAAGAGCGCACATCTATGAAAAGTGTGCCGAACGTTGCATTCTTGGAAATTGTGTCACCATGACAACTTTGTACGGTACAGTGAGTGTCACCCTGGTTACTTTGCACGGTACAGTTAGTGTCACCCTGGTTACTTTGCACGGTACAGTGAGGGTCACCATGGTTACTTTGCACTGTACATTGAGTCCATACAATCCAAAAGTCAATGCAGAATAAAATTGATGTACCTGCTAGGTTTCGGTTTTTTAAGTGAAACTGCTCCGTCTGCTCTGGCCTTGAGGCAGGAGCAAGGAGCCGACCCAGAACAGGTGCCGACCCAATGCTCTGTTCGCTCCAGTCATGCTCGAGTGTGCACCAAGGAAACACGACCCTAGATAGAAAATTAAGCTCTTTCCAATTTCCAAGCTTCACATCTTCAATATGCACTTTTGTCAGCGGTTTAACAGGTCACACCTAGAGCCAATCAATTTGTGCCTGTGCTTTCTGATTGTGTTGTCAGCCCGGACCCCACCAAGCATCAAAGTAACTCCAGCAGTTCTGCATGGCACTTACCAACAGACCAGCACCGTTACTATCACCGTATCAACAGTGGCTCCTTTGACAATTACCAATCTACAAGCTTATAGCGTGGGCGGAATTAGCGTAACGATAGGGCACGCGAGTGCCACTGAATATTCGGTGATATGGACACCAAGCAAACGGCTGCTTATGGCCGGTGCCATGGTATATGTAACGGCGCAGGACAGCGGGAATGCAAGAGCTACACAGACAATCCCTGTCACCCTCTGCGGCTGCTTTGGCACTTGCCAGCAGCCTCCAGCGGCAACTGAGCTGACAGATGTGTTCACTCAGCTGGACTGTGCGTCATGTGATGCAGGTAAGTCGGAGCAGGCCACAAAGGAGTGCACAGTCAATGATTTCCTTTGTCTCCGATACATGTATGCATTTTACTTGTAACGTGGTCTGTGGAGCGCTATGGGGTGCTATGGAGTACCGCGGAATGCTGTGGAGTGTCATGGAGTGATGTGGGGTATCGTGGAGTGCTGTGAAGTACCATGGAGTGATGTGGGGTATCGTGGAGTGCTGTGAAGTGCCATGGAGTGATGTGGGGTATCGTGGAATGCTGTGAAGTGCCATGGAGTGATGTGGGGTATCGTGGAATGCTGTGAAGTGCCATGGAGTGATGTGGGGGTATCGTGGAATGCTGTGAAGTGCCATGGAGTGATGTGGGGTATCGTGGAGTGCCGTCAAGTAATGTGGGGTATCATAATAGTGCCTTGTAGTTTTTTTTAGTTTTTTTTTTACTTTAAGCCATGTGGTGCAAGCAATGGGAACCTGCAGCAGCCATGTTGGTGGGGGCCAGGCTCTCCGTCGATCAACTGGTCTCGACATCGTCACGCTCTTGACACACCAGATACAATTTAATGGAAGTATGAGGGAAATAGAAAGAACATTGGGAGCGGGAGGGGAGGGAGGAGGGGGAGGGGGTAGATTGAGAAAGAGAGAGTACATGAGAGTGTGTACAGCAAGTTCATGTAGCAGGTTTACAAGGCGTCAGTTGCTTGCATCCAGTTGCTGGTCAACAAGTGATGGTGGACCATCTTCTTCAACTGCAGCATCCCATCCTTGTATGGCTGGTGTGCGAGGATTCTCCGAGGCAGGGAGTTCCATGCGCTCAGCACGCAAGCAGGGCAGACCTTGGCCATGGTTGAGTGGGAATGGCGAGGCAGGCTAAACTGGGGGGCCAAGGGAAAGTCGTGTGACTGGCGTCGCTGGGCGGCGAGACGGGTGTTGGGGTTTCATCCGCCAGCTGGAGTGGTTTGGGCATAACTGCTTTCAAGGAGCACGTCGGTGGGAAGAAGCAGAGCTTGTGCAGGAAGCTCAGGGCCACCACCCTGCGCCTACCCTCAAGGCTTGGAATGGAGACTCCAGTGCCCATCAGCTTTAGTGCCCTGCGTTGTACTGCATCAAGGTGGGCCAGTGGAGCCCCCATCCAAACCAGTGCTCTGATTCACAATTCATTCAGCTTATGTCACTGCTCTACCCTGCATTCCTCTGTTTCCCAAAAACTTCCCCGGCCCGGCACGCATGCCATGTTGTGTTCGTAATGTTTAGATGTGTGTGTGTATGTGTGTGTGCGTGTGTTTGTGTGCATGTATGTGTGTGCTTGCACACACATACATGCACACAAACACACACGTGTTTGTGTGTGTATAATTGTGTGTGCATGTGTGTATGTGTTTGTGTATGTGTGCGTGTGTATGTGTGCGAACGCACGGCTGTGTGTGTATACATATACTCGTCTTCCTCACTCCCGTCTGCACAGGTCGCACAGGTGAGAACTGTGCTGAAGATCTGGACAGTTGTATCGGCGAGCCGTGTGCGAATCCGCTGTACAAGTGCACGGACATCGCACTGCCAAGTACCGGGTTTAAGTGCTCGTGCCGACCAGGGTTCACGGAGGTCTATGGTCAGTGCAATGAGACTGATGAGTGTATGCTGGGCACGCATAACTGTGCTACTGACGGCGGACGCAGCACTTGTAAGAATACTAATGGTTCCTATCTGTGTGAATGCTCACCTGGGTACAATGGTCCTCCTACCTGTGCAGGTGAGCTATCCAAGACTGTACCAACCATGTAGTCACTAAGCTCTGATAAGGCCCTTGGCAGGATTGTCGGTCGAGCAAGGGGAGGAGGGATGTGGCAGGCTGGACATTGGTGAAAGAAATGAAGAAGAAGGAAATCATTAGCTCGAGGGAAAGGTGCAACAGGAACAAAGAAAAAACAACTGAGGGAGAAGTGTGTGTATAGTGACTTATTCCTTGTGAATGCATAGGTCTGGGGCTTCTAAGTTTCATTTCAGTACTGTATTTTCCCGAGTATAAGGCGCACTTTGAACAATCAAAATTCACTACAAAGAAGGGTGTTTGGCTAAATACTCTGATCACCAAATTTATGTACATGTACTCGGATAGAGAGCCAATGATAAAGGATAAAGGATAGAGCGTAACTTGTAGTTCCTTGGTCCTTTTTCTTTTCCATAAAAGTAAAAAAAGTAAATTATCGTGTCCGTTCCCGATGGGAACTCATGACGGCCGCTAACACCCGGTTTTCTTTTATATAGATGAAATTCATGGTGATAAATGCAGGTAGGGCCTTTACTCCAGTGCGGCTTATACTCTGAAAAATACGCTGGTTAGGGTTTTGTCTCCTTACCGTCTATTTACAAAAAGAAAGTTTCTCCAGACTTTCCCATTTGCACCTTTCCCTCAAAACCATGATTACTGTTATGTTCACGATCTTACATATGCACACACTCGTACACATATGCACGCACTCGTACACACTTGCACACTCGTACGCACTCACCTTTACAGACTCGTACTCGCCTTTACTCTCATACTCACCTTTATACTCTCGTACTCACCTTTGTTCCCTTTTCTAACCTTTTCTTCCGTTGGCCTGGGTAGCTGGATTCACGCTCTAGTACATTCATTTCCATAGCTACCCAGGCCTTTGATAAGCTCTGACTTGGCCATTTTCTCGCTCTCTTTCCAACGAATCTCGACTTGAGACTAAGAGTTATTGACCTTCGTCCTCTAGCTCTGTGACTGCTCGCGTGTGTGATCCGGTGATCCTAATATTACTATAAACATAAGATGTGCACAGATTGAGTAGTAGTAGTAGTAGTAGTAGAATTTATTATTTTGATAGGGAAGGCCCTACAGACGTTGCCGTCTTAGTACTAGTAAACATAAAAATCTGCACAGATTGAGCGAACATAACATGTATAAAAGTTTGGTTGTACCATCGGGGAGCGCACACTTCCTGCAAAACTTGACACTTGACTTACTCGCGACTGCCATCCGGAGCACACGAGGAGAATGTCGCGCCTTCCACTCGGCAAACCTGCAAAAAAGCCCCACTCACTGCTGTTCCTCGTTGAAACAACCAACTTCATCACTAATGCCGCCGAAGTCGCAACTTCTTAGTTCATAAAATGTATATGGGAAATATATCAGGATTCCATGGCGTGAATACATCCTTGTCATCAGGCGCCTATGCATACTCTAGAATTGCCGGTACGCGGAGGTTGAACTGAACGTGTTTGCTCTGGTTTTGCAGGAGATTATGATGAATGCTCCATGGATGCGGATGATTGCGATGATGGCAACTCTACTTGTACAAACATATTGGGAAGTTACAAATGCTCTTGCCGAACCGGATATGAAGGATCTGGAAGATTGAGGACTGGAGGCTGTGCAAGTAAGTCAGGTCAAGATTCGAAATCTGATTATAACTTTAATCCATTCTGACTATCTACTGGTCGTGAGATTTTACCTTTGCAATTGTATTGTCCTCAAATGGTGAGCCAAGGAAATTATTGAATGGAAACAAGGACACAGTGGGGCACAAGTTATGAGTTAGAGTCCATCAACTAAACGCGGTTTTGAACAGTCAGACCAGTCTGGTGCTACCTTGTGTACGTTTGACCTTTCAAAACCTGGTCTAGATGGTGGACTCTAATGCATAAGTTGTGCTCCACCGTATTCCATCTTTCAATTTAACAATTGCATTGTTTTACTTTTTTATGCCCACAATCTCCAACGGTGACGCAGTGGATTGGTCAAAGACAGTGATTGAGATACGAGAGGTACCTGGTTCAAGTCCTGCCTGGGAGCATACTTTCCAGCCGTGCTGCTACCCACAGTCAACTGGGAGATTGTGGCCAGGCACAAGGGGTACAGGTCGTCCCCCGTTAATACAAGTCCGGTTAGTACATAAACCCCGTTAGTACATAAGAAATCTCAAGTCCCGGACGAAACGTGATCACTTCCATACAAATTATGTCGGTTAGTACATAATTCGTTAGTACATAAACCCCGTTAGTACATAACATTTCTCCGCACCCGCATGCCACCTACCTCAATAGTACATAATTTTGTTGGTCTTTTGGCCTTCCAGTGGAGGCACATCGTGTTCTGGTTTCTACTTGTGGATTCGATTAGCTCAGAAATCAGAGCGCACATCACAAACCGACAAAGCTCTGTTTTTTCCCGAGTGACTGTACAGGCGGAGCTGGGCATGTATCATGTAAACTGTAGAATCTTGGCTGACTGTGACCGTTATAACATAATTTTTATGTTATATCGAGGGAATCAAGAATATCTCGCTCCCTAGTCATGGCAGCAAGAAACACTCAGAAAAGTTGAAAAAAGTGAAAAATACTGGTACACAAGCAAGTTATGTACACTTTCGTTTAGTACATAAACCCCGTAAATACATAACATTTGTCAAGTCCCAGAGATTATGTATTAACGAGGGACGACCTGTACATTGATGTGGCGAATGGTGTTTCTAGGCACTTATGGCAGTGGTTGTGATACTTATCCGCTCTCATTCAAAGTTAGGCCCTGCACCTACCGCTGGGTTCACTCGGTGCTAGCGGCCATCGTGAGTTCCAATCGTGGAACAGAGGTGATCATTTACTTTTGCATTAATTTAACTCCACCGCAACACATATACAGTCAACCTTTCGCTGATAACGACACTCGGCAGGGCCTCAGAAAAGTGTCCTTATTCGCGAATTGTCGTTATATCCGCAGTCGTTATTAGCGAAGTTGACTGTAGGACACTCCTCAACTCCAATAACAGTTCCTTTACGGCAAATTTATATCACTTTATATTATTATGTATCGCACCAAATTCTCATATCTCGTCCATCATACACAGATACAGTACATAGGTAGTTATTGAACTGCATGACGTATGAAGACACCACCAACGAAATTGTAATGGCATTTTTGTTGTCTCTTTGCGCGAGTCAAAATTGTACTATTTAAAAACACTTTTGCGAACAGCTCTGCAACGGATATTAGGGCACGTTATTGGAGTATCTCTTAATTTGCTGGCCGAAAATCCTATATATAGGATTTGAAAATGTGTGCCTTTTATGCCGTTGTTATTGGTCATCACGACCAATAATAACGACATACTGGTTTTCATGGAAATTGTAAATATGTTTCAGGCATGAATGTGTACATTTTAGATTCATAGGGCGATAATATTTCTGATGAATACCCATTTTCAGCAATAATTGGAAATTTGAGCATAATTGTTCAGCTGCTGTCATGGAAAGGACTGAAGCAGTGAATGTGCAGAAGAACATTGCAGGTGTGGCACGGGGTGGTTTCATAACGACATATCGCACATGCCGTCATGAAACTACCAGTTTTAAGGATAAAACAAGGTCCAATAAAATCTCAAATCCTATATATAGGATTCGAAAAATAGGGCAGAGGCCTTAGTAATATTGGGCAAGGAGATGAGCCTGAGATGTTAGTGTTTGAAAAAATTATCTTATTCAACTCTCGATATCTACTAAGACCTAGCAAGGAAGAATTGGTCACATACTTTTTTGCTTTTCTCATGCCACACCCATTTTGAGTTGAAAAATATGACCAAAACCTATATATAGGATTTAGCAAATTAAGAGATAGAAGCAAGGTACATCCTCTGTAGATGTATGTCAAAACAGGTGGTCAAGCGAGCACTGTAACGTGTCTCACCTCGCACCACCATTTCTTTTTGTTGTCGTTGTTTCCTGTTACGACTTTGAAGTAATAACCTGCAAAGCACCAGTGATAGCGCATGGAAAGCGCCAGCATCACAGCGTTGTGCAGTATGACGAAGACGTCGTCTACTCTTGCAACACTGGGTACTGGATCAATGGTTCTGCAACATCAACCTGCTCTGCTAACGGCAAGCTGACAGCAATACCCGAATGCGTCAGTAAGTCAGCTAATTGTTTTACTTGTACGTCCAAGTGACTTATCAGCAAGCGTGATATTGGTGAGGCATCCTGCAGCTTCATAACTGAAAGAGGAAAGGACAGCACACCTGCTCTTTACCCGGACACTGCAAATTCACAACTCAGTTCACTGCATCACTATCAATGTATCATCAGGATGGTATTGTATCGTTGTGATGGGAATTTGCTGAAACGTCGATAATGATACAGTGAACTGAGGTGTAATTTTGCAGTGACCAGGGAAAGAGCATGGTTGTGTGTCATTCCTCTTTCAGTAACCAATCGGCCGGTAGAAACACTACTTCTGTAGGACCTTTCTTAACTTCTAGACACACTGAGTGGAAAAAAGAGGTGATGAGGCCACGAAAACCTAAAGGGATTAAAATTGTGAAAACATTCATTTGCAGACAGAGAGCGACATGCACAGTCATGTAGTTATTTTAGACTTTTCTCGTGGACATCATCGCGACAGAATCACCCAAATGAATTGCAAAATTAATAAACCACTATGGAGCACAAATTTTCAGTGTACTTTTATTTTCCGTACTTTCGGTGCGTCTGGCTCATACCTAAAATTTCAATACACCGCACAAACAGTAACACACGCAATCCAATAGGGAACTGCATCTCGGTACGGAAAATTTCTGTTGTAATTTTTATTGTTGAAGGTTTCCCGAAAGGCTTTTGCCTATCGAGGGGGTTTCCAAACTTTCCATAATGCCAAATCTGTGAAAGAAGTGATGAGCAATAGGTGAGCAAAGAAAGAGAAAAAGACATAGTCTAGGGCAGAGCTCTGCGCTTGAGCGTATGATTGTAAGCTTGCAGAACTGGGATAATACATGTAAATGATAAAAAAATGTACCAGAGATAAGCTTCTAAAGAATATGATGTGACGCTACATATTCAACGGAATTACACTGAAGTGAAACCAATGCTCGTAAAACTGTTTGTGCAGCTCTTGCTTAAATTCGCTTAAACTGGTTAAGGAGGTGATCTTAGGGGTCAGACAACTCCAGAGGGTGCTGTATTTATGGAAAAAAAGATTTGAACAGCATTGTCCATGGTGAAGGAGAGGCCTAAGACGGGCAGGTGAGCGCAACGAAAACGAGGACAAGGCTGCAGGGGTGGGCAAACGTCCAGCTATGATTTCGTAATCTAGCCATATGCTTGACCATAAATTCTTTCCCTCGGAAGGTTCAAGGTTAAGGAGAGACCAAAGAGGGGAAGGTAAGCGCAACGAAAACGAGCACAAGCTACAGTCCCACCGGAACCACGAATGTCGATTGTTACTGGATGATGACATTTTTGTTCCGGTGGGACTGTAGCTTGTGCTCGTATTTTTTGCGCTCACCTGCATGTTATTAAAAAAAACTGATGGAAATGTTTTTTTTCCATTGATGGGCTACATCAAACTTTCTCTTTGCATTCGACGGTAATATGACACCACCTACCGCCTTGATGACCTAGGCAAAAAAAGGATAGTGATGTTATAATTTTTTTCATTTACCCTTTTTTTAAGACAACCTGGGATTCGAACCCGCGCTATCGCCCTGCATGCATTCCCCCGATACACTTTGCATACATACTCATTCTTCCAAGTTGCTTCACGTTATGTTCTTGCATTTGAAAGCCTTATTTGAATATTGTGGAGAGCTGTCTTTGATGGCACGGTACGGAACGGTACGAGACAGGTACGGGATAGCGTCAGGCATGCCGATGGCACAAACAAACAAACACGAAATTAAAGCTGTGTGGACCCTGGCTAGCGCCAGACGTTACTGAAGTAACGTCTTTTGCATAGCTACGGGAATAATATCTAGTTACATTGGTCGACAGTTACTCTCAACTAGTATCCATATGACTATTATGTCCTTTCCTTTCTACATGTATTATTGGCTCAACATCCGAGTTTCAAAATAAGGGAAAATGAAAAATGAAAAATAGGGATTCCCTGACCAGAAAAGTCACTTCAATCAGCTGTGTGGTGGATACAATTCTAAAATTAGTGGCGGTCAATTCATCAGTCTTGCAAGCTGCTAACTCAGAAGTAGGGACAAACTCGGCCATTTGAAAATAATCGTAAGCGTCCACCTCTCCACACTGTGCTATTGGCCCACATTCACAACACCACTCCAAGGCGAGGTAGTCCGTTCTTGGGTAGATACTCCATATCCTCCAGTAAGACTGTTTCGCTCATTAGGAGCTCCTCAGTGGAGGTAGATGACGAATGAATAGCAGATAAAGGAATGCGTGTATTAGGGTAAAGTGGCACAATTGTGCATTTGTACATAGAAATGTGGCACACCCAAAGAAGTTGAAGGTCACAAAAGTTCTGCAGGTGATAACGAAATGCACAGTGCTGTTGGAACATGCATACAGATGGCGCGAAAATTTAGACAAGCGCGTGAATCAGCTGCTGAATGGTGTAATCCTAGCACAAGTTGCAATGTCTAAAATAGCTCTTCGCTATCATTGCTTCCGCAATGGGCATGTGTGTGTGTGTGTGTGTGTGTGTGTGTGTTTGTGTGTGTATGTGTGTGTGTGTTATTCTCGTCAATTCCATTTACAGTTGTCAATTGCACCTTACCTATGATTGCTAATGGAACATGGGAAAAACCCTTGGTCTACTATCTACAAACCGTAACCTTCCAGTGCGACAATGGTTTTGGGCTAATCGGTGATAAGAATCACACATGTTCCCAGCATGGAAACGTCACAGCAGAGCCGTCTTGTCGAGGTTAGTTCCATGGGTTACAAACTGGACGATGTTCTTGGTTTGCAAAACAATCCGTATTTTCGAAGTATAAGCCACGCTTAACACCAGTAATTCTCCCCCAAAACCAGTGCAACTTACACTACAATGGTCAAAATAACAGTTGTACATGGAGTACCACTGTACAGATTCTTTAAAGGGCAAAATGCACACAATGAATATTTTTCCAAGTCTTCCAACGAACTTCAACTCAAAGTTCTAGAAAGAAAAAGGCAAAAAAACGCCAAACAAAACCACAACAGCATAATAATGTATATACCTACTTAGGTAGACAGCAGCAAGTTCAACTTCAAGTCAAAAATCCAGTTGTACATGGAGTAGATGTCTGTATTTCGTGACCAATAAAATCTGGGTGCTGCTTACACTCCGGAACGTACGGTATTCGTGGAGCTGCACGGTGGTGTGAAAACGCGAAGCTCATATCCACCGGTTGTTCTGGTTTCTTGCATTGTTGGGTACTTCTTGTATTTCATTTGGTGAGACAGCGTGGGTTAGGGTAAGGGTTAAAGTCAGAGCTAGTGTTCGGGCTCGGGTTCGGGTTACGGTTGGGGTTAGGATTAGGGTCAATTGCATAGGGTCAATTGTGTAGGGTTAGGGTTAGGTTTAGGGTTAGGGTTATGCTTAGGGCTCGGGTAAGGGTTAGCTTATAGTAAAGGAAAAGGCCCAAGGAACTAAAAGTTACGTTAGCTCCGTCAACGCTTGCATGGAGCTGATGCGAGCGCGTGACCGAGGTTGCGCTGACTGGTTGGCGGCGGCTAGCCGAGCTCTATGACGTGCATGGCCGCTCGCTCCTCATTTCTTTTGTTCATTTGGCTTATGCAAAGACTAGCCAAGCTTGCTTGGTGATGTCAATGCGAGCAATCTTACAATAATTATAAGAAACGAGTAGAATGGCATGTACAACAATGGACAACGGGAACTGGTAGGTGGAACATTTATAACAGGAGACGAAGATACAGAGACCAAGACGAACAAAACGACTACATTGTCTATGAGCGAAAGAAGAGAGAGAGAGAGAGAGAGAGAGAGAGAGAGAGAGAGAGTGGGAGATCAAATGTGAACGGCACGATAAAGGGCCTCTTATGGCAATTATGGGCGCGCAAGAAGCTACCCGGCCCAGGCGAACGGAACAAAAGGAGACAAAAAGGTGAGTACGAGAGTGCATGCAGGCCAGCTTGGATAAGGTTGTAGGATGCACGGGAGGAGGTACCTACAGGGCCGGCGCCACTGGTACGTCCGGTACGGCCATGGCCGTACCAAAAAAAACAAAACAAAAAAACAAAAACAAAAACTTCCCAAAAAGTCGGTGTACATGGCCATATGGAACGTCCAAAACCGGGGAGAAAAAGATTCGATGTATGATTTTGTACAGGGAGTCGCCCAGAGTGCAGGATTTGCCGTCTAAATTCCAAAAAATTTTCTGGGGGAGGACACCCAGACCCCCCTTAAAGATGGCCCTTCGGCCGCATCACTCCGCGGAAGCTGCCTCCGGCCCTGACCTAACACTCGGAACAGGATTTCCCCCCTTTTGCGGTCGCACAAAGCGTGAATGCATCGAAAGTGTTGCGAGTTCGACACGAATATGTACATGACTGTACACTTGCAACATCGATGTAGGTGTAAAGTACAAGCGCGACCTAATAAACATCGACCCGATCACCGTCGTCGTCTTTTGAGCTGACTACTTTTCTTACATACAGCATGCAGGACTGGCAGGCTCCACGTGCAAGTAGTCTTGAGCTAAAGACAGTAAAGTTGTTTCAGTTTCATGTTTTCCGTTCTGTCGACGGCTCCCGAACCAGATTGCTCGACGACGAGCTAGGCCTGGCGTCTGGGCCTATTTTGAGCATAGACAGGAAAAGCAACTAGTTACTTGTTGGTGCGCCTCACGTCAGCTCATCCGTCGAAATCCGCCGATCTGCACCCCTGGCCGGCTTCTCTGACTTCATCGTCGGAGTCAGCGACGTCACAGGCGAAGGGCACCATCAGCTCTTGGGTTACAACATGCCTACATGGTCCAAACAGCTGACGGACTTGTTGCAGGATCTTCGGATCTATGCGCCCCCTTTCGGTCGTTGGCGATGTTGGACTCATGTTTTGAAATTCCCAGAATGTACACGTACTGATGTAGTTACAATATTAATCGCTTAGCCGATAAGCCGATGGTTATGGTATCGGCTGAGCCACTAAGGAAAAAAAGTAATCGTTTCAGCCCTAGGGTTAGGATTAGGCTTAGAGTTAGGGTTAGGGCTACGGTTAGGGTTAGGGTTAGGGTCAGGGCTAGGGCTAGGGCTAGGGTTAGGGTTAGGGTTAGGGGTAGGGTCAGGGTCAGGGTCAGGGTTAGGGTTAGGGTTAGGGTTAGGGTTAATATTAATGTTAGTGTTAGGGTTAGGGTTAGTATTAGGGTTAGGGTTAAGGTTAGTGTTAGTGTTAGGGTTAGGGTTAGGGTTAGTGTTAGGGTTAGGGTTAGGGTTAGTGTTAGTGTTAGGGTTAGGGTTAGGGTAAGGGCTAATATTAGGGTTCAGGGTTAGGGTTAGGGTTGTGGTTAGGGTTACGGTTAGGTTAGCATTATTGACAGACAGGCAAGCAACCAGATAAACAGGCAGACAGACAGACAGCCAGACAGACAGACGGGCAAACAGACAGACAGACAAACAGGCAGACAGACATACAGACAGACATACCGATAGACAGACATGCAGACAGGCAGACAGACAGACAGACAAGCAGACAGACAGACAGACAGACAGACAGACAGACAGACAGACAGACAGACAGACAGACAGACAGACAGACAGACAGACAGACAGACAGACAGACAGACAGACAGACAGACAGACAGACCGACAGACAGTCAGACAGACAGACAGACAGATGGAGAGACAGACAGATAGGCAGACAAATAGACAGGCAGACATGCGAACAGACAGACAGACAGACAGTCAGGCAGACAGACAGACAGACAGACAGACAGAAAACCGGCCAAACAGACTGGCAGACAGACAGGCATACAGACAGAGAAACAGACAGGCCAATGGACAGATATTGAAGTTGTGAAAAAGGGAGTATTGGCATCTCCAACCAAAGCTCTATCCCCCAAAGTTCAGGTTATTTTGGCTCGTTTGTGTGGTGTCTGTCTGTTTGTATATCACTGACAGCGTGGGTTTCTTTCTTATGTACTAAGATCTGCCTTCAATACTTCCTTTGTTCTCTCCCCTGTGTTCAGACATTGATGAATGTAGCAGTGGGGCCCATCAATGTGATGTCCATGCCGTATGTAACAACACTGATGGTTCATATCTATGTTCATGTGCTACTGGTTATTTTGGTAATGGTACTGTATGCTCACGTAAGTCATCAAAGATAAACATGTTGATGAGTAGTGTGGTGATATGTGGTGCTTAATACAAATGAACCTCAGTGTGTGTATGTTACAAGTATAGTTGGACAGCGTATTTCCGGTCTCCCGGTCTCAAACAAGCCAAAGTACTGTTTGGCTTGTTTGTTCATGTTCACATTCTCACCACGAAAATAATAAAGAAAGACAATGGTAATGAGACTAGGCCAAACGTGACAACTATTAAGCAGGGGCTGCACCGAGACGCAGCAGTGATGGAGGGGCATTGATGGCACTGCCGACCTGAAGTCTCAGCATCACGGCCAAAACACGCTCCAAGAAACAAAATATAGAGTTGTGCGAGTCAGAAAAGTGAAAAGAAAGGGAGGTTTAAAACCAGTGAGTGTGCAGGAGAAACTGTGATACTATTAGCAATTGCAAGGGTTGTGACTGAAAGGAGCATCATCATGGCGAATCAATTGTCCGAGCCAGTTGTGGTGCATAGATAGGAATAGACGAGAGCAGCATCAGAGCGAGTCGACTGCACACAGCCAGTTTGTGCTTCGCAGATGGCGATAAACGTTCGTTTTGAATGCCTGCATTTCCTTGCAGTGGGGAGGCTGGGACAGAAGAGCGGCGGGGAGGGAGTTCCAGTCACTAATACTGCAGTGTGGGAACGAGCGCTTCAATGCCAGCGGGACAGGTGCAAGCAGCTGGTGTTGGAGCTGGTGGTCGTGGCCAATGACACTACCATGCTCGCTGCGAGTTCTGGGGCTGGATGAGGGGAAATGGCGTGGTGGCAAAACAGAGAGCAGCTGCGGAGGGCCAAGTAAGGTAATTCAGCTTGTATAGGCAGGCAAGTGAGGCAACAGTACAGCGGATGGTCAGGCTAGGTAAGAGTGCACCTGGACTGATTATTCACAGAGCACAGTGTTGAATATAATCCAGGCGTTGCAGGTAGCTGGGCGGACACATAACCAGATAAGGGCGGTATACTCCATAACCGGTCAAACAAATGCCTTGTATATCGGTATGCGGCCGGCTTCGAAGAGAGTGTGCGCTATGTGTGTCGATTGTTACTGGATGATGGCATTCTTTGTTCCGGTGGGACTGTAGCTTGTGCTCGTTCACATTCACAACACCACTCAATAGCAAGGAAGTTCGTTCTTGGGTAGATGTTCCATATCCTCCAGACAGCTGTTTCGCTCATTAAGAGCTCCTCAGTGTAGGCACATGACGAATGAATAGCAAATAAAGGAATGAGTACTAGTATATACTAAGTGGCGCAATTGCGCAATTTGTACATAGAGAAGTTGCATATCCTAAGAATTTGTTGTTGTTGTTGTGTTTATTTTGATTCTTCTCTTTCTCATTCTCCTAGCTCTTCTGTCATTCTCCTGGGTGGTTACCAACATCCAGTGTATGCCGGAGTATGTGGTGTGGCAGGTGTGTGTAAAAACATGGAATGAAAATGGAAAAAAATAAGAACAAAATTAAAAATTAATAGAGATTCACTGCACAGATAAAGCCACTTCTATCAGCTGTGTGGTGGATACCAGGCTAAAATTATTGGCGGTTAATTCATCAGCCTTGCAAGCTGTTGAATGGTGTAATCCCAGCACAGTCCATCCCAGTGGCTATGTGTAACATAGCTGTTCGCTATCATCGCTTCCGCGATGGGCAGATCTAAGGTGTGTGTGTGTGTGTGTGTGTGTGTGTGTGTGTGTGTGTGTGTGTGTGTGTGTGTGTGTGTGTGTGTGTGTGTGTGTGGGTGGGTGGGTGGGTGGGTGGGTGGGTGGGTGGGTGGGCGTGTGTGTGTTCTTCTCTTCAATTCCATTTACAGTTGTCAATTGCACCTTACCTATGATTGCTAATGGAACATGGGAAAAACCCTTGGTCTACTATCTACAAAGCGTAACCTTCCAGTGCGACAATGGCTTTGGGCGAATCGGTGATAAGAATCACACATGTTCTCAGCATGGAAACGTCAGAGCAGAGCCGTCTTGTCGAGGTTAGTTCCATAGGTTTAAAAAAAGCTGCACTACTTTCTTCAATCGCAAAGGAATAAGTATTTTCTGAAGTATAAACCACGCTTATTACATCAGTAATTCTCCCCGAAAAACCAGTGCAACTTACACTACAATGGTCAAATTAACAGGTGTACATGGAGCATGGCGTAGATGTCTGTGTTGCGTGACCAATGAAATCCGGGCACTGCTTATACTCCAGACCGTACGGTATTCGTGGAGCTTCAGGGTGGTGTGCAACGCGAAGCTCATATCCACCGGTTGTTCTGGCTTCTTGCGTTGTTGGGTATTTCTTGTATTTCATTTAATGCTAGAGCATGGATTAGAGTTAGAGTTGGAGTCAGGGCTGGTGTTCGGGTTAGGGTTCGGGCTCGGGTTCGGTTTAGGAATAGGGTCAATTGCTTAGGGTTAGGGTTAGTTTATTGGACATTATAGCGTAAATGGTAGTTCCGCCGTCCTTTTTCTTTGCTATCAATAATTCGATATCTCTCCATTCGAGTTACGGTTATTGGTAGGGTTAAGGTTAACGTTAGTGTGATGATCAGCCTTATGGTTAGCTTTAGGGTTAGCGTTAGGGATAGGGTTAGTGTTCGAGTTAGGGTTAGGGTTAGGTTTAGGGCTAAGGTTAGGGATAGGGTTAGTATTGGAGTACGGGTTACGGTTAGCTTTAGGGTTAGCGTTAGGGATAGAGTTCGCGTTGGAGTTAGTGTTAGGATTAGCTTTAGCGTTTGGGTTAGGGTTACGGTGACGCTTACGGTTAGAGCTAGGGTTACGGTTAGGGTTAGGGTTACGGTTAGGGCGCGTTCAGACTGGCGTGAAAAGCAAGCGGAATGTGAAAGTTGTCAAGGTGAATAGCTCACGTGATATTCCCGCCAGTGTCAACACGGAAAAGGCTTCCCACCACTGTGCAGGCCGGTGGAACTCAGATTCCGGCGGCGTGCGGGAGCACATTTAATATCCTTGCACCACATGTTCCGTCTTTTCATTTTTATTTCAGCCTCTACTCATTTAGTCTGACTGCATGCTTTTGAGTTTTTGAGTTTTGACTTCTAGACTGCCAACTTCTCCCATCATACCGAAATCTTTGTTCGACTCAGCAATAGACAGGGAGTTCATGGAGCTGTACGTGGCGATTGTTCTCTGCAGGCAAAATGTTGACTGCGAACAAGAAGCAGACTCTGATCACGGAGCGGATGAATGCCAACCAAGCACCAAACACTCCGGAAATCGTATTCTTTCTGTCAGCAATCACAAGCAAAAGCACAATGATCCAGTATCTCAACAGACTGAATTAGTTTATGTTGGTGTCCAACTCAAACTGAGTCAAATCAAATTTTTAAAATGTCAATTGATTATGTTACAAGCTTGTCAAAGTATCACATGTACTAGCCATTCCAGCGGGATACACGTGCAGTGTGATTGCGATTCCCGGGATTACGCTGCAGCATTCCGGCGGCTATTCACGCCAGTTTGGACATGCCCTTAGGGTTATGGTTAGGGTTAGGTTTGATGGTTGGGGTTAGGGTTATGGTTAGAGTCCATTACTTAGGGTTAGCGTTTGGGTTATGGTAACGGTGACGGTTAGGGTTAGGGTTAGGGTTAGGGTAAAGGGTTAGGGTAAGGGGTTAGGGTAAGGGGTTAGGGTAAGGGGTTAGGGTAAAGGGTTAGGGTAAGGGGTTAGGGTAAAGGGTTAGGGTAAGGGGTTAGGGTAAGGGGTTAGGGTAAGGGGTTAGGGTAAAGGGTTAGGGTAAGGGGTTAGGGTAAGGGGTTAGGGTAAGGGGTTAGGGTAAGGGGTTAGGGTAAGGGGTTAGGGTAAGGGGTTAGGGTAAGGGGTTAGGGTAAGGGGTTAGGGTAAGGGGTTAGGGTAAGGGGTTAGGGTAAGGGGTAAGGGTAAGGGGTTAGGGTAAGGGGTTAGGGTAAGGGGTTAGGGTAAGGGGTTAGGGTAAGGGGTTAGGGTTGGATTTAGGGTTAGGGTCAGGGTCAGGGTCAGGGTCAGGGTCAGGGTCAGGGTAGGGGTAGGGGTAGGCGTAGGGCTAGGGGTTGGGGTAAGGGTAGGGATAGGGGTAGGGTTAGGGTTAGGATTAGGGTTACGGGTAGGGTTAATGTAAGGGTTAACGTTGGGTTAGGGTTAACATTAGGGTGAGGGTTAGGGATAGTGTTTGCGTTAGGATTATAGTTAGGGTTTCGATCAATTGCTTAGGGTTAGGGTTACGGTTAATATTAGAGTTAGCGTTAGATTGAACTCGGATGGTGGGCCACTTTAAATGATAAAAAGTAGGACAAAATGTTACGTGCAATGACTAACTGTCCACCAACGTAAATAAAACAAAACCAACAACCCTCCAACTTAGAAGGCACAGGTTCGTCGCCATCCAAAAACTTTTGGCATTCTTTCTTGCTGTGGGGTATAGCTCTTGCTATTCTTCTTTGCGCTTTCCTTCCCCTATAGGCCGTCGAAGTCTGACGTCACAGCTTCTTGACAACGCGTCGTTACTTGGCCAAGTGGTGACAAACAAAATTCGTGTCACCTGCACTTGTCGTGTTTCCAGTGGCACCAGCATGCAGTGAGCACAGCTACCGCATCGCTTTGTCTTAGGAGCGTGCGAGCGAGACTATTTATTTCAAATAACCTCCTACTTGTCGCCGAGATTGTAGTTTTCGCTTTGTAGAGAGGGGGAGGCCGTAGCTGATTTTTTGCTTGACCACTGCTGTGCCTGTACTGTCGTACAGCTTTACATGTAGTTACCGGCCAAGAAGCAATGATGACAATGATTGGTGTCTGTGTTATTTCTATCGCAGTGAACGCTGATTTCTTTTAGTTCGGAGACCAACTCAGGGCTCATTTCCTTGTGCAGCAGGAAGCGAAAATCAAAACTCCTATCTCTCAGGTGCTGGTGAACACTCTGCAGGAAAACACTGCACGATGGCTTGCGAGCGAAGGAGAAACTGCTTGAAGTGAAACAAAATTTGAAGTTGCGATCTTGCATCAGCGTGCCACAGTCAAAGTGATGACGTGACCCTTGGAAACACGACAAGTGCAGGTGACGTGACTTTTGTTTGTCACCACTTGGCCAAGTAACTACATGTACATGTAACTATGAGTTTTCAGGCAGTGGCTCTTCAGCAGCCTATTGGACCTGTCCGAACCTCTGCGGCCATTGGGCAATCCTCAACCCTTTGTGTGCGAACTGTACAACTTGAAACTTTTCAAAATTTCAATCGATCGTAACTCAGCCTGGTCATTTCTCAAAACTAAAATTTATTGGTAGAAGAGAAAACTCCGAGCTGTCCATTGAAACAATCGCTGTAGCGCTCCGATCTGCGGTTCCAGAGTTACAAAGCTCGAGAGTCGAATCGAGGCAAATGTCGTTCAAGAGCCGCTTGCGCAGATTTGCGCGGATTTCCCCATCATTCTGGGCATGCAGTGACGTAGAAACACGTTGAAAATGGTGAAAGGACTCGTGGCAGTTTGTGAAAATTTTTTGAAGTAACAGTTAGTTGTTACGAGCAAGGAGAGCGAAATGGCTAATACAAAAACGACTTCTGTCGGAATATTTGGGAATCAATAAACCAATCAATCAAACCTGAGCCTTCCAAGTTGGAAGGTTGTTGGTTTGCGCCTTGGAGAAGTGTTGCAGCTAGGTGTCAGGTCGCCGAATGTCTCGGTATTCCTTGTTAGTTTTGTGCCATTTTGACGCACTCGCTGACGGTATAACATCTGGTTACGTTGGTGGACAGTTAGTCATAACTCGTTTGCTTTAGGGTTAGCATTAGTTTTTAGGTTAGAGTTAGGGTTAGGGTTAGGGTGAGGGTGATGGTGAGGGTGAGGGTTAGGGTTAGGGATAAGGTCAGGGTTAGGGTTAGGCTTAGGCTTAGAGGTAGGGTTACGGTTAGCGTTAGCATTATTGGCAGACAGACAGGCAGATAGACGGACGGACGGACGGACGGAAGGACGGACAGACGGAAGGACGGACGGACGGAAGGACGGACGGACGGAAGGACGGACGGACGGAAGGACGGACGGACGGAAGGACGGACGGAAGGACGGACGGACGGACGGACAGACGGAAGGACGGACCGACGGACCGACAGACAGACAGACAGACAGACAGACAGACAGGCAAATGGGCAGAACAATAGGCAGGCGGACATACAAACAGACAGAAAGATCGACATACAGACATACAAACAAACAGACAGACAGACAGACAGACAGACATGCAGACAGACAGACAGACAGACAGACAGACAGACAGACAGACAGACAGACAGACAGACAGAAAATGAACCAATAGACAGATATTCAAGGTGTGAGAGAGGGAGTTGTGGCATCTCCAACCATAGCTCTATCCCCAAAGTTCAGGTTATTTTGGCTCGTTTGTGTGGGTTCTGTTTGCATATCACTGACAGCGTGGGTCTCTTTCTTATGTACTAAGATCTGCCTTCAAAACTTCCTATGTTCTCTCCTCTGTGTTCAGACATTGATGAATGTAGCAGTGGGGCCCATCAATGTGATGTAAATTCTTTGTGTGGAAACACTGTTGGTTCATTTCTTTGTTCATGTATTACTGGTTATTTTGGTAATGGTACTGTATGCTCACGTAAGTCATCAAAGATAAACATGTTGAGTAGTGTGGTGATACGTGGTGCTTAATGCAAATGAACCTCCGTGTGTGTATGTTACAAGTATGATTGTACAGTGTATTTCCCTTCTCTGACCCTTGTCTGTCCTCAAGTATTTGCATAGTTGTGTAGCTACGTGTCTGAGAGTGGATCCATGCACTCAAAGATAAATACATTGACGTAGAGAAACAGAGAAATACATTGACAGAGAGACACAGAGATGGACAGACAGACAGACAGACAGACAGACAGACAGGCAGACAGAAAGAGAGACAGACAGACAGACAGACAGACAGACAGACAGACAGACAGACAGACAGACAGACAGACAGACAGACAGACAGACAGAGAGGCAGATGGACAGATAGACAGACAGACATTCATACCGACAGACAGACAGACATTCATACCGACGGACAGACTGACAGACAGGCAGGCAGACAGACAGAGAGGCAGAGACACAGACAGACAGACAGACAGACATACAGCCATTCATTCATACCCATTTGACCATTTGACGCCCATCGCCGGAGGCGATGATAGCAATGCTACAGCAGAAGCCATAGCAGCTTGTGCTGGGATTGCACCATTCAACAGCTTGCAAGGCTGAAGAATTGACCGCCACTATTCAGCCTGGTCTACACCACACAGCTATGAAGTTCATTCATACCCACGGACAGGCAGATCGACAGGCAGACACACAGACGGACAAGGTGAGAGAGAGAGGCAAAGCCAGATACAGACAGAGACAGACAGACAGGGAAAGAGACAGAAAGACAGAAAAATAGAAAGACAGACCGACAGACAGGCAGACAGGCAGACAGACAGTCAGACAGACAAAGTGAGAGAGAGAGAGAGAGAGTTGTGGCAGCACTAAAGATTGCTCGAGGCACCCAGGTGCCTTATACTTCGAAGTATTCCCATATATTTACCTATGTGTACAAGTAAAAATTTATGTGTATGTCCTTCCGCTGTCTGTTTGCTTGCCTGCTTAAGTTAAATTATTGTTTGGCTTGTTTGTTCATGTTCTCATTCCCAGCACGAAAAAAATAAAGAAAGACAATGGTTATGAGAATAGGCCAAATGTGACAACCATTAAGCAGGGGCAGCACCGAGACGCAGCAGTGATGGAGGGACATTGATGACTCTGCCGACCTGAAGTCTCGGCATCATGGCCAAAAACACGCACTAAAAAACACAAAAGATAGAGCTGTGCGAGTCAGCAAAGGGAAAAGAAAGGAAGGGTTAACACCAGCGAGTGTGCGGGAGAAACTGTGAGACTATTAACAATTGCAAGGGTTGTGAGAGGAGTATCATCATGGCTGATCATGGCGAGTAGATTGTCCGAGCCAGTTGTGGTGCATAGATAGGGATAGACGAGAGCAGCATCATAGCGAGTCGACTGCCCAGAGTCAGTTTGTGCTTCGTAGATGGCGATAAATGTTCGTTTTGAATGCTTGCATTCCCTTGCTGTGGGGATGCTGGGTCAGAAGAGCGGCGAGGAGGGAGTTCCAGGCACTAATACTGCAGTGTGGGAACGAACGCTTCAATGCCAGCGGGACTGATGCAAGCAGCTGGTGTTGGAGCTGTTGGTCACGGCCAATGACACTACCATGCTCGCTGCGAGTTCTGGGGCTGGATGAGGGGAAATGGCGTGGTGGCAAAACAGAGAGCAGCTGTGGAGGGCCAGGCAGGTAATGCAGCTTGTATAGGCAGGCAACCGAGGCAACAGTACAGCGGATGGTCAGGCTAGGTAAGAGTGCACCTGGACCGATGATTCACAGAGCACAGCATTGGATATGATCCAGGCGTTGCGGGTAGCTGGGCGGAGCACCTATCCCAGCACAAGTTGCTATGTCTAACATAGCTGTATGCTATCATCGCTTCCGCGATTGGCATCTGTGTGTGTGTGTGTGTGTGTGTGTGCGCGCGCGTGCGCGTGCATGCGTGTGTGTGTGTGTTTGTGTGTGTGTGTATGTGTGTGTATGTGTGTGTATGTGTGTGTGTGTTCTTCTCTTCAATTCCATTTACAGCTGTCAATTGCACCTTACCTATGATTGCTAATGGAACATGGGAAAAACCCCTCGTCTACTATCTGCAAAGCGTAACCTTCCAGTGCGACAATGGCTTTGGGCAAATCGGTGATAAGAATCACACATGTTCTCAGCATGGAAATGTCACAGCAGAGCCGTCTTGTCAAGGTTAGTTCCATAGATTACAAACTGGACGACGTTCTTGGATCGCAAAACAATCCGTATTTTCTGAAGTATAAGCCACGCTTGAAGGGGAAATTAAGACTAAAATCAAATTTTCACCAGTTGTAATCTTCGGGAAGGGGGGGGGGCTGAGTTGAATGGTCGTGGTCCGAGGAAGCTGAGACGCTCCCTTCCTACTTTAATCCCAATCGAACTCGCGCACTTCCACCGAAACTGGGTGGCTGCACCCTACTAGATGGGGATTTGTATGCAAAATGTCACCAGTAAAAGCGCCATTTCGTTCTTATAAAAGCACGGATGACCGTGATTGGGCCATATGTTGTAGACTTTTGGATGCTGAGTCGACTGGTTTTGGTTCAAAAAGGCTGCGATGCAGCGTTCGGCCCTTATTCCCAATCGAACATGCTTGAACAAGCGGTCACGTGCTCCTGTGTACACCAGTCACCTGGTCACCGTGCCTGCAGGAGTCTCTGTGCAAACTTTCACCGATAATTTTTACACCCATCTTCATTACTTATTTGCACTTCGGCTAGTCACTATAATATAAAAATATCTTTAGCTTCATGTAGTGCCCTCATCTACATATGCGCTGTTGCATTCCTTGGCCAAACTAGACACTCATGACAGTATTACATTGTGTCACGTGATGCATCTAGCATGAGCCATGTCCCGCAGGTTAAGCCGACTTGGCGGTTTTTAGTTGCCGTGCATCAGTTGCGTCTGGGCTCTTGTTGTTTTCGACGGGAGGCATAAAGAATACTAAGAATACCACATTTATATCCCTTTATCTTGCTCTTATCTTTGGTGGTCCGCACCATATCCAATCTCTTTGCAGTGAACAAATCCCCTTACAATGCGTCGCTGACATTCAAAACTCTCTACTTATCCAGCTAAAACAAACGGTCTCTTCATCGCACATTAGCTTACATTCCACCCCCAATTCAGGAATATTTCACAAACAGTGTGACCTTATTTACTGTCTTGAAAGAGATTTTCGAGTTTGGAGAAGAAGATGGTTTTCGAAAGTGTAAGTCCACAAGTAGACAGACAAACAAACAGACGGACAGACAGACAGACAGACAGGCAGACAAACATACATACAGATGGACAGACGGACAAGCAGACAGATAGGCAGAGAAATGGACAGACAATCAAGGTGTGAGAAAGGGAGTTGTGGCAGCTCGAACCATCTCTCTATCCCCAAAGTCCAGATAATTTTGGCTCGTTTGTGTGGGGGTCTGTCTGTTTGTATATCACTGACAGCGTTGGTCTCTTTCTTGTTCATACAAATCGCAGGTTTGCTGTGATTGGCTAGAGCAATTTCAACATTGTCATTGAATCTGTATCTGCTTGCAATCACATGCAAGAAGAGCTAATGTACTGATATCTGCTTTCAAAACTTCCTATGTTCTCTCCCTATGTTCAGAACTTGATGAATGTGCCAGTGGTTCCCATGAATGTGATGTACATTCTTTGTGTGGAAACACTGTTGGTTCATATCTATGTTCATGCACTACTGGTTATACTGGTAATGGTACTGTCTGCTCACGTAAGTCATCAAAGATAAACATGTTGATGAGTAGTATGTGGTGACATGTGGTGCTTAATACAAATGAACCTCCGTGTTTGTATGTTGCAAGTATGATTGTACAGCGTATTTCGGGTCTCCCTTTTCTGACCCTTGTCTGTCCACAAATGTTTGCATAGTCGTGTAGCTACTTGTTTGTGAATGGATCGATGCACTCAAAGATAAATACGTTGACGTAGAGACACAGATAAATACATTGACAGAGAGACAAAGAGATAGACATGCACAGAAAGACAGACAGACACACACACACACACACAGAAAGACAGACAGACAGACAGATAGACAGGCAGACAGACAGACAGAAAGACAGACAGACAGACAGACACACACACACACACACACACACACACACAGCCACACAGACACACAGCCACACAGACAGACAAACAGACAGACAGACAGAAAGACAGACAGAAAGACAGACAGACACACAGACACACAGAAAACCGAAAACAGAACAATAGGCCGCAAACAGTCAGACAGACAGACAGACAAGGTGAGATAGAGAGAGTTGTGCCATATACCATTTTAACTCGGATACTCAGCTAGTAATAAAATGTAAAATATAAGAAATAGCCAGGGAATTAGGTAAGTAGGTAGAGCTAGGTCTCAGATCGTTGAATGGCTCAGCAGCTTGTCAGTTCTGTGCCCTTTTATCGCACTTTCTGACTGCTTATTACCTTGTTACCGGCATGGACACACAACACACACACATCAGCTGGCAGTGAAACTTTAGTAAATGATAAGCTTGGCCGATGCGTGTAAAATTTGACATTTTGTCGTGTATCAGTGGTTTTTAGGTATACAATACTGTATTTAATTGTCAACTGTTGACTTCCAACCTTCTGTGTTTGTTCCCTGTTTCTCTTATCTAGTCAAAGGCAAATTTTGCTCGCCATTCTCACTGCCCAACTTAGCAACTTCTCTCTCATACAACGGAACTGAACGTTTGGGGGATAACATTTCCATAGCGTGTGCTGCAGGCTTCGACGTAGTACAGGGAGCTAACAAGACAAACATTTACATTTGTTCTAATGTCAATGGCACGGGAATGTGGCAAGGAGATGCCAAATGCTCCCGTAAGTGTACTTGGAACCTACCTGCTGCTGTCTTAGCTTGTGCGGCCTGGGGCATTTGGGGCATTTGGGGCATTTGGGGCAATCAGGAGTTTATGCTGGTTACTCATGCAGGAAAGAACTTCAGGACATCAAATCTAGCTGTGTGCACACTGCGGCATGCCCTCGGAATGACGAATTCCCCAACTGTTGATTGGCGACTTGCTGGGTCCCTCGAATGAATCGATCAATTCAGCCTGTACAATGGATTCTATTTTTAGTGGATAACTTTAATCCAAGACCACTTGTTGTCGCTTGGGGACACGTTGTAGCGGACTATGGTGGTGGTCTAAACCAATTTCAGGACGTAACAGTGCTGCTACTGGCCCTTGAAGATGGACTTCGTAATGGCTGCCATTGGACAAGCTGAATTGATCGATTCGTTCGAGGGACACAGCAAGTCACCAATCAGAAGTTGGATTGCTTAACATAACAAGGGAACTTGGATTGGTGTGGCTGCTCTGTGTTGTTGTCAGCAACAGTGACCCGTCGGTCTTGTACCTTGTTTTAGTGTGTGTTTTAGTCATTTATTATTGTTTTGCCCAATGTCCAAGGAACAGAGGGTCTGTGGACCAAACTGTCATAGTGGGCGAACAAGGTCCACTCAGGGACAAAGGGAGCCAACTTTGAGTGAAATCAGAAATTTGGCAATGTCGGGTGATATTTGCTCGCCACAGGCATTGACCCTTCAGACAGTCAACTTTGTTATCAACCTTGCTATGACCCTCCCCCCCCCCTCCCCAACAGAAGTATTTGATTTCCTGTGACAGAGGACAGGTGAAGGATATGAGCTAAAGCTCGCCACTTTCCTCTGCTTTGTTCTCTTCTTGTTCAGAATTAGAGGGAGAAGGTGGTACCAGCCAATCCACCGTAGCGCTTATTGCCATTAGTGGTTTGTTGTGTGCTGGAGCGGCTGCAACCCTTGTTCTCTTTATCTACCGGCGGGGCTTGCAAGCCTCACATGTAATCAGCAGTAAGTTATGTAGTAATATTTGGTGTTTAAACTAAAAAATACTGTTTTTCCTGTATGAACTCAGTATGAACTCAGTATGAACTCAGACACTTTCTTCATCTTCCCTGTATCTATGATAATGTGTATTTGAAATGTTTGATGTTTTCCCCAGACCCCCCCCCCCCCCCACACACACACACGGGACTGTAGGATAGTGGTTACTCTCCAGCATACTAGTATTGCCTATGTGTAGATATACATGCAGCAACATGTCAACCAGTATGAACCATGACAACGTAATGCCTACAGTCCATTTCAAAAATATAGACGCATGGTATTTTTGGAAATATTTCAAATTCGGCTAGAGCATTTTTAGAATTTGTTTCGGAATATTGCTCAGGTCCTTCCCGCAATTACTCTCATAATTTTTAAGGGATCAGATAGCAAACGCCCTGAAATTTCGATTTTATGCAGAACGTGATCACAGATTTTATGTAATAATATAGATGCTGGCCCAACTGTTTTTTTGAAATCACGCGTCTATATTTTGAAATTCACTTTAATGGCTTGCAGGCACCCTACATGACAGCCCGCTGGCACAAACAAACCGCAAGGCTCTTCCTTCATGCCATGAATGCCTGACCTTTAAGAGAGCATGTCTGAGAATACCAAAGTATGTGTGCAAGTCGATCTCTCCGACTTCGCTCAAAATTTGCTGGTCGGTTCCCTTTGGGGTTTAGATCGACTATGCAAAGCCCTGGAAAAAGTTTCTGAAGAGAACCTTGAAACTTACATACCTGTCCAAAATGGCCGAAAATTCTAATTATTTATGGGTCTACAAGCCAGTCATGCCACAGTGTACATAAAAAGGCTACGGACAAAAATCCATCAAACGAACATTGCCTCACCTTAGAAGAGTTTCTGGAGTAGTAGCGCTTGGCTACACCAGCATCCAAGAAGATGAGGGCCTTCACCCCCTGCCGCCATAAATGATCGTCTTGAAAATAGCCAATTTACAAGCGCTGATGAAAGAGTCAGCTATGTCCTAAATTAGCAAGAACTATACACCGGCAGATAGTAGAGCACCTTTTCTAGCACGGACGACATGTCCCCCATCTTCCTTTTGGGGTTTTCTTGAAATAAACCTAAAACCAGAAAATGGTTGGTGTTGCAAGAAGAAGCTTGTCCTTGGGGGTATCAGGTGATCACCTCTGCTTTTCCTTGTCAGAGTCAACAATACACTTTGTTCTGCAGCGCTGGGAGTAGTGTTGGGAGTAGAAACTGTCAAGGAGACGTCGCAGAGGGGTGAGATTTCCTGCACTTTCCTGCGCAGGTATCAGTTTTGCCGTCTTTCAGCATGGTCGAGTGGAAAAATGTGAAAAAGTTTTTTCAAGGAGGCCCCAAAAGGAAGATGGGTTGCACGTCCTCTGTGCTAGAAGAGCCGTTCTACTATCTGCCGGTGTATAGTTCTTGCGGATCGAGGACGTAGCTGTCTGTTTTATGAGCTCTGTTAAATTGGCTATTTTCAAGACGATCATTTGGTGCATCAGGGGGGGGGGGTGCTGGTGTGGCTATGCACTACTGCTCCAGGAACTCTTCTAAGGTGAGGCAATTTTGGCTCGATGGAATTTTGTTCGTAACTTGTTCGTGTACACTGTAGCGAGAAGACTCGTTTAATAAAATTATTTCACGGTTCGCGTCAGACTCGGCTAGATGCCGAGATTTCCGCATCTGTAAGATCGCCACCACCCTTCAAGGATCAAGGCGCAGATGCAGCTCCGAAGACGGTGGGAGGCGAGTAGATCAGCTCACCAGCGAGTGGTCAAAGACCGAATATCCAATTTACTGCATCCATGGTTTCCTCGTGCCAGACTCGTTATTTTTCGGCCATTTTGACGGGTGTGCAAGTTTCAAGGCTCCTTTCAGAAACTTTTTTAAGGGCTTTACACAGTCAATCTACACCCCAAAAGGAACCTACCTGCAAATTGTAACGTGATAATAGAGATGTTCAGATGCACGTTATTTCTGGCATGACGCGAAAGTTCAGCTCCCGTTATTTTGCTCGCGCCTCGAATAACAACACGAGTGACCTGCAGCTCATGTCGAAATCTGGAGTTTCACGCCAATTTTGACGTGAAAGTGCGCGTCGTGTCGGAAATGCCGTGCATGTTGGTGTTGCCAGTACATCATTCAGAAAATGACATTGTACCACAGCGGACGCATTATTACCTCCTGGGTGTACATTGCGTAAATACGCGATCTGCCTTGACCCGCGTGAGTTCAAATCCTAACTCAGTCAATTCTTCGTTGATTCTCCCGATCGAAGCATGTACCTGCAAAAGAAAACTCTCCACTTGTGATAGAAACAATCGCCGGAGCGATACGATCCCGGGTTGTTGGGATCATTATGTGAATAGACATGGCAAATTCAATGAATTTTGCGCAGTCTGCAGAATGCAAAATTCTACAGTGATCGGAGCTAAGCCAATCACAAATTATCACTGGGCTGGTCGCTATGGCAACATACAATTGGCGATTTGCCGAGTCTGGCTTATCGTATGCAAGCGGGATATATGCCAATTCGAACCGATCTCAAATTGTATTTCATCTGATCCCTACTTCAAGAATCAAAGCACTTCTTCTTTAACCTAATAATAAAAAAAGTAAATTATCATGTCCGTTCCCGAAGGGAACTCACGACGGCCGCTAACACCCGATAAATCCTAGCGGCAGATGCAGCACCTAACGGTGGGGGTGAGTGGATAAGTCTCACAACCACTGGCACCAGTGCCGAAAACGACCCCATTAGCTGCATCCATGTACCCCTTGTGCCTGGCCACAAGTTCCCAGTTGACTGTGGGTAGCAGCACGGCTGGAAACCCGCTCCCAGGCAGGACTTGAACCAGGTACCTCTCGTATCTCAATCATGGTCAATAACATTTTTTTTGTAGCAGTTTCGTTTGACACTGGGCTTCAAATTTGTTCATGCGAACAATCGTGCCGACTGTCCTTGCCGTTACTTCTCGATTGATTGAACGGGATCCTTCAGCATCAGGACCTTGTGGTGCTGCTTTGTTTCTGGATTTCTTGATGCCATCGTCGATTCGTGTGTATGGCTGGGATGTCAGAGCCGCTAAGTCTTCATTTCTCCTCCGAGTAGCAACATTGAGCAGAGAGCGCTTTCGATGCACTCTCCAAGATGTTTATTCTTGACAGCGCTTGAAATTTTGACGGGAACGAGAAGAGAGTTTGCGTGATTCTTTGCGTCGCGTTCCCGAAACGTAGAGCAGAACCTCACTATATAAAGATTCCTTTCACTTTCAGGACCATGGAAAATCAGCAAAATGTTAAGGGAGCTTCGAGCAACATTTGATTTCCTACGCTTCGGTCGCTAGGCATGGGTCAACAATCGTCTTTCCGGCAAGAAAAGGCGATCACTGGTCGCGTTCAGCAGGTAGTTGCTAGTCACAGTGCATTTTGAATGTGAGACCGTCCGTGCTTGTGGAAGTGGTCGGTAGTACCACGCTGGTCGCTAGTCACGGTGGTCTTTAGTTACAGGTTTTACTGTAGTACCAGGCTGGTCGCTAGTCACGGTGGTCTTTAGTTACAGGTTTTACTGTAGTACCAGGCTGGTCGCTAGTCACGGTGGTCTTTAGTTACAGGTTTTACTGTAGTACCAGGCTGGTCGCTAGTCACGGTGGTCTTTAGTTACAGGTTTTACTGTAGTACCAGGCTGGTCGCTAGTCACGGTGGTCTTTAGTTACAGGTTTTACTGTAGTACCAGGCTGGTCGCTAGTCACGGTGGTCTTTAGTTACAGGTTTTACTGTAGTACCAGGCTGGTCGCTAGTCACGGTGGTCTTTAGTTACAGGTTTTACTGTAGTACCAGGCTGGTCGCTAGTCACGGTGGTCTTTAGTTACAGGTTTTACTGTAGTACCAGGCTGGTCGCTAGTCACGGTGGTCTTTAGTTACAGGTTTTACTGTAGTACCAGGCTGGTCGCTAGTCACGGTGGTCTTTAGTTACAGGTTTTACTGTAGTACCAGGCTAGTTGCTAGTCACGGTGGTCTTTAGTTACAGGTTTTACTGTAGTACCAGGCTGGTCGCTAGTCACGGTGGTCTTTAGTTACAGGTTTTACTGTAGTACCAGGCTGGTCGCTAGTCACGGTGGTCTTTAGTTACAGGTTTTACTGTAGTAGCAGGCTGGTCGCTAGTCACGGTGGTCTTTAGTTACAGGTTTTACTGTAGTACCAGGCTGGTCGCTAGTCACGGTGGTCTTTAGTTACATGTTTTACTGTAGTACCAGGCTGGTCGCTAGTCACGGTGGTCTTTAGTTACAGGTTTTACTGTAGTACCAGGCTGGTCGCTAGTCACGGTGGTCTTTAGTTACAGGTTTTACTGTAGTACCAGGCTGGTCGCTAGTCACGGTGGTCTTTAGTTACAGGTTTTACTGTAGTACCAGGCTGGTCGCTAGTCACGGTGGTCTTTAGTTACAGGTTTTACTGTAGTACCAGGCTGGTCGCTAGTCACGGTCGTCTTTAGTTACAGGTTTTACTGTAGTACCAGGCTGGTCGCTAGTCACGGTGGTCTTTAGTTACAGGTTTTACTGTAGTACCAGGCTGGTCGCTAGTCACGGTGGTCTTTAGTTACAGGTTTTACTGTAGTACCAGGCTGGTCGCTAGTCACGGTGGTCTTTAGTTACAGGTTTTACTGTAGTACCAGGCTGGTCGCTAGTCACGGTGGTCTTTAGTTACAGGTTTTACTGTAGTACCAGGCTGGTCGCTAGTCACGGTGGTCTTTAGTTACAGGTTTTACTGTAGTACCAGGCTGGTCGCTAGTCACGGTGGTCTTTAGTTACAGGTTTTACTGTATGTCCTCTCTCTCCAACTGTGAAGAGTTTTGCCAAGGGCGTTTTTTGTTTCATTTCAAGTACCCTGGAATTATGGCTTTGTCACCAACTACCAGCCCCGGTATGCCTCCTGCCCCCAGTAGCCCTGCTGGCGTTGCCTCCGCATCTGCGTCTATGGTGAGCTCCCTGCAGGGAGAGGGCAACTCAAAGTGCGCCAAATATTTGAGGTTCGACCTTACCATGGATCTCATTCTGCTGAGGCAGTGTAGGGCGCACCCTCAGCTATTCGTCCGCGGGTATCCTAATATTATGCATGGGATAGCGGAGGAGCTCGGCCGAAATCCGCCTTTTCAAGGGGTCTCAAAAAGAGATCATAATCACCAATACCCTGAATCGGATGAAGCATCCTCCGCTTCGCGTCATCCTCAACGGCAATGAGAAACAGCAGCAACTCTGTTCGGTCCAGGTGACCTTCAGCAAACTCAAGGAGGGGAAGCGAATCCAACAAATCGACTTGCTCTGCAACAAACGCAGCCATTGCACACCTCCAAATCTCCAGTCCTCAAATGTTCAACCTAAAAAAACTCGATTCTAAAATACTGGCATGCACTGCATGCTGAATCTCTTTTTCATTCGAATTTTCGCGTTGATTTTCTTTTGGCCATTCGAATAATCAAGTGGAAATTTCGATTTGCTGGTGCGCCGTATTGGAGGGAAAAAGGATGTTTTGTCAAAAATAGCATTTGTAACGCGCAAGATAAAATGTACGAAAAAGATAGTGGCCTCTCTCTCACTCTCTCTCTCTTTCTCTCTTTCTCTGTCTCTGTCTCTCTCTCTTTCTCTCTTTCTCTGTCTCTGTCTCTCTCTCTCTTTCTATCTGGCTCTGTCTCTGTATCTGTCTCTGTATCGGTCTCTGTATTTCTCTCTCTCTTTTCTCTCTCTCTCTCTCTCTCTCTCTCTAATTCAGTTTGTATTGTTCTCATCATGTGTGTGGTGTACTTCCTTTGCAGGAGAGTGTCCACCGCTGCCTGGACCAGTGAAAGGTGGGCAGGATTACGACCCCATTCGAAAGACACCCGCACACCCTATACTCAGCGTGGAAGGAGACACTGATTATGAGCATGATCACATCAAAATGAGGGAAATGTCTTCCACACGCACGGCTAAGAGGAATACCATAACGTCGTTAGTCACCGAACATGAAGCAGATAATTATTCTCTTTACGCAGATACTGCATCACAGAAACAAGGCTTGACTACATCACCTTGCTCTAGCAGGCTCTCTGTAACCAGTAACACAGCAGGCGCTATGGGTCACTGCTCCGAAACTGAACCTAGCCTGTACGACTCAGTTAAAGGGGTGAATACCCGCCTCTCTGAAACCAGTGTCGGGGAAGCTATCTACGATGAAACCGGCCTCGGTAATACTCCCAGCAGAGTTAATGCCATCTACGATGAAACCGGCCTCGGTAATTCTCCCAGTAAAGTTGATGCCATCTACGATGAAACCGGCCTCGGTAATACTCCCAGTAGAGTTGATGCCATCTACGATGAAACCGGCCTCGGTAATACTCCCAGTAAAGGCGATGCCATCTATGATGAAACAGGCCTTGGTAACACTCCCAGTAAAGTTGATGCCATCTATGATGAAACAGGCCTGGGTAATACTCCCAGTAGAATTGATGCCATCTATGATGAAACAGGCCTGGGTGATACTGCCAGTAGAGTTGATGCTGTGCATGACAAGACAGGCTTGGTTGATGCTACCAGTGTATATAGTGCTGTGTATGCCGAAACAAACAAAGCATCCGGCCTTGGTAATACTGCAAGTAGAGGCGATGCTGTGGATGACAAGACAGACTTGGGTGATACTACCAGTGTATGCAGTGCTGTATATGCCGAAACGAACAAAGCATCCGGCCTTGGTAATACTGCAAGTAGAGACGATGCTGTGGATGACAAGACAGACTTGGGTGATACTACCAGTGTATGCAGTGCTGTATATGCCGAAACGAACAAAGCATCCGGCCTTGGTAATACTGCAAGTAGAGGCGATGCTGTGGATGACAAGACAGACTTGGGTGATACTACCAGTGTATGCAGTGCTGTATATGCCGAAACGAACAAAGCATCCGGCCTTGGTAATACTGCAAGTAGAGTTCATGCTGTGGATGACAAGACAGACTTGGGTGATACTACCAGCGTATATAATGCTGTATATGCCGAAACAAACAAAGGTGCTGATACTGTTGGAGGTGTCGATGTGAATAAGGAAGCAGGCACTTATACTAATGGAGATGAAGCCACCCATACTGAAACCGATCCAGGCAATGATACCATGACGAGTGTGTACGCAAACAATGGCAAAGGCCACACTCGCAGTGGGGATGACAATGTGTATGATGTAGCATGTGCACCACATCAAACAAGCAGAGGTGATGCTGCCCAGGCCGAACCACATCCAGGCAATGATGTCATGCCGGGTGATACTGGGTATGAGGAATCAGTCCCAGGCAATGATACCATTCCATATTATGTTGGCCATGACGCAGCAGGCACGGCTGATGATACTTATGAGGAAACTCCTGTACCATATGTCATCTACGATGACAATGCCACGGCGGCGAAATGTACTGATGAAGGCGAGGACATATATGCTGTATTAAGTTAAGCTAATCATCGACATCAGAGCCTCAACACATATCATTGTGACAGTTACTATTATTATGTCTCCTTTATTCACTTACGCGTCAATGTCAGCGGTGGTAAACCGCCCACAAACTCGCACATGCTGAAAGGACCTGGAGTTCCTGGGGCCAATTAAACACTACTAATGTTGGAAATCATCCCAGGCTAGCCTTCGCTTGGTCTTTTCATCCCAATAGATTGTAGGCATGAGCAGCCCCATCCGATTTTATATCTGTTCAGGTTGTCTTCCTTTCTTCTTGCCATTCTTTATTTTCACTCTACAAATTCTCTCTGATGTTGCCTCCCTAATCATCTACACTACCAGACTTTCTGAATTACCATGGTTACTTGTGAGACCTTCCCCTCAGGGCCTGCTGGTTCGCACTTGAGTAATTATTATAGAAAATTGACAGGTTCTACAGTCATACAGCAAGAAAATTCGTTTCAGGAGATGTGCACCATGCGTTGCCAGCTGTGCTCCGCTCCATACGTGAAATAAACACTGTTTCTGTGATTGTGGATTTATTTGAAGTGAAGCTGCACACCCAAAGTCTTCGATTCATTTGATATTAATAATCTTTATTTCATTATAAGATCTGCTGCTGCCGTCGGCTACTCATTAGTTTGAGATACATTTTCAAGCACGAATTCATCCATTCCGCTTATATCTTTTAAAAGATCTTTTAAACTAGATCTTTTGCTGCTTTCAACTATCCTTTAATTTGGGGAACATTGCAAACACACATTCTTCGCTTCCCTTCGATTTGCAGATTCCTTGCTCCACGTCATCAATCTGAGTGCTTTCCTCACTGTTGGGGCAACGAAATTAAACTTAATCAAACTAAACCAAGTCCTTTGTGCTAAATTCAGCGTATTTACCACCCCCACCCACACCAGTGGTTGTGAGACTTACCCACTCACCCCCACCGTTAGGCGATGCATCTGCCGCTAGGGTTTATCGGGTGTTAGCGGCCGTCGTGAGTTCCCTTCGGGAACGGATACGATAATTTACTTTTTACTTACCCACACACACACACATATGCTTGAAGCAATTATAATTATATACTCAATCTGCGGGCAGAACTGTTTCGTCGTTTGTGGACTCATCACCGCAGCACAGAGGAAATGTGGCCGAACCTGATAGCAATGAAAAAAATATAATTTCTTAAGCCAGATTTAAACCAGGTCCCTACGTACCTTGCCAGAGTGCTCAAACTGACAAGTCAGTGAGCTCTGCATAATGCAAGCAGCAAAGCGGCACTATTCCATACAAGAGTGTTCAACTGCTACAGGAGCAGGAGCGAAATACATCTGCAGACAGAGCTGTTTCGTCCTTTGTGGACTCATCACTGACACACATAATAGCTGATAACTCCAGAAACTCCTGTAGTAGCAACAGATTATGTTTTCACCGCTTCCACTGTATGTCTACACCTCAATCCATATACACCCACAGTGTATGTTTGATTGGTAGGATCGAGATCCCGATCCACCGGATCCACTGGATTCGCACCCTTTCGATTAGTCGAATCCGGATCCGGATCCTTAGGATTTGGATCCGGTCAACCCACCTGGGCTGCACTGCAGGGTTGACCTGATCCTACGGATCCAATGTGACCTTTGTGCGTATGTCATCATCATCATCATCATCATCATCATCATCATCATCATCATCATCATGAGAAAAGCCTCTTTTACGGGCAAAGCAAATGTATATCATTACAATATGTAAAGTGAACAGGGGAAATCAACACAAAACCAACCGGAAAATGATGAAACACAAAAGCAGTCAAGGAAGCATCATCATCATCATCATCATCATCATCATCATCATCATCATCATGTGACCAAGCCGTCTGTTGTCGAGATGGCGAGGGAGCAGTTGGAGGCTTCTGGCCGTATTACCGAGGGTCTCACGACGCTCATTCGGAGGCAGGAGTTCCCAGATGGTCCGGATGAGGTTGATGGAGTTTTATCCGCCGTAGCTTGTGCCAAGCGGGAGTGTCGTAAAGTGGCGCGTGAGCGACAGGCAGAGCGCTTGCGTGCTCTTCAATCGCACCTGTCTTTGGAAGTTAATCGTCGCGTGGAAGAACTGGGTCGCCCAGGTGTTTCATCCTGGCTGTCGGCGCTCCCTATTGCTGAGCATGGTTTTGAATTATCCAAGGGAGACTTTCGCGATGCCATTGCGTTACGCTATGACTGGCCGCTGCGTGACACCCCTGCTGTATGTGCTTGTGGGGCGGGTTTTTCCACTAGCCATGCTTTGAATTGTGCTTTTGGTGGATTCCCAACTATTCGACACAATGAACTACGAGACCTGTTCGCTGTTGCCTTGACCGAGGTTTGCTCCAGTGTGTCTGTGGAGCCACCTCTCGCCCCTGTCGAGGGTGAGGTTTTTCAGGCCAGGTCGGCGAACACCTCTGTCGAGGCTCGCCTTGATGTGAGCGCTCGAGGCTTCTGGACGCGTGGGCAAGATGCATTTTTTGATGTAAGGGTGTTTAATCCTGACGCTTCTTCCTACGCGTCCAGAAGCCTGGACGCGCTCTTCCGGCAACATGAGGGCGCTAAGAGACTGCAATATCAGGAGAGAGTAGTCAATGTTGAGCGTGGTGCCTTTGCACCTCTTGTGTTTTCCGTGAATGGGGCTGCTGCGCCGGCGTCCACGGCCTTCCTCAGGCGCCTTTGCCTCCTTACAGCTCAATCTTCGGGAGGTAGCTATTCGTCGTTGATGAGTTATTATCGTTGTCGGGTGTCTTTCGCGCTGCTACGTTCCGCTGTGTTGTGTGTCAGGGGTGCTCGGTCGGCCCGTCATCGTCCAGTTCACATGCTTCGTGAGTTGGCGATGGTGGAGGGTCGGGTTCCCCTGCAGTGATTGGTGCTGCGCCGAGCTAGTTTGGTGTGAAAGTGTAACTAATGTTATTATTCTTATATATACATCAAGTAGTACTAAATAATTGAGAGGCTTTGAATCGTTTTTATCAAAATCAAAATATTTGCCGGGTTGGAAGGTGGGATCAAAAAAAATATTTGCCGGGTTGGAAGGTGGGATCAAAAAAAAAAAAAAAATCATGTGACCAAGCCGCTTTTACGGGCAACAATATTATGAATATAAAACGCAAGGTATTGTAAGAGCAATTGTTAAAACACGAAATATAAAAAATGCATTATCACACCGTAGCCACTTTTATGGGCAAATTCCAATACAAGGCAATAAGAAAACATCATCATCATCATCATCATCATCATCATCATCATCATCAAAAAAATCATCATCATCATCATCATCATGTCGGGTGTCTTTCGCGCTGTTACGTTCCGCTGTGTTGTGTGTCAGGGGTGCTCGGTCGGCCCGTCACCGTCCAGTTCACATGATTCGTGAATTGGCGATGGTGGAGGGTCGGGTTCCCCTGCCGTGATTGGTGCTGCACCGAGCTTGTTTTGTGTGAAAATATAACTATTATTATTATTCTTATATCTATACATCAAGTATTACAAAAATAATTGAGAGGCTTTGAATATTTTTATCAAAATCAAAATATTTGCCGGGTTGGAAGGTGGGAATCATCACCATCATCATCATCATCATCATCATCATCATCATCATTTGAACAGCCTCTTGTACGGGCAAGCAAAAACGCAATACATCAAAATTCAATTAGGATGAAAAAAGAGAGGAAAATGAACACAAAGTGCACTGGAACTTGTGATGTCTGCCTTCACAGTCATGCACAAACACTCAAGGACACAGGTTGAGGTTTGGAAGAATACAATAATACAAGTGTGAAGAAGACAGGTAAGAACAGCCAACCAGGTCAAGCCAAGCATGCACTTCAGGCGACTAGTCCAAGATGGCGCATGCTGGTTGTGACGTAATACACAGGCAAAATATATGACGTAATAGTCACGTGATAATACATGAGCATCATATCACATCACGCCCCTTCTGAGATAAAACAGTGGTCTAGCCAGGTTTATCTCAACAACTAAATGAAAAAATATCAAATACAGTGTACGAGAACGAGTAGGAACTGCGCACGCAGCAGAGAACAGAGCACTAACACAGCTAATCATATGACTTAGTGGAATGCGAGGCAATGTCCAGGCGGTTAGGTGCAGTGCGAGAGCGTTGGCTGCGGCGGAGCGGTTGCGGATCAGAAGAGGCAACGTTAGCAGCAGGATTGCTAGCAGGCGGCGTGCAGGTTGGGGCTGGAGGGATAACAGCAGCGGTTACGGGTCGGAGGAAGCGACGGTTGCGCCAGTAGGTGCGGCCACTGGGTACCTTGACGAGGTAGTCACGATTGCGACCGACGGCAACGATGACACCGCTGGTGTGCCACAGCTTGGACCGTGGATCCTGCAGATCAACACGACAGCCAATGCGTAGCGGAGGGAGGGGATGAGCAGAGTCATCGTAGTGGGCTGCAGCGGCGGCAGACTGCTTGGCTGCGGCAGCGTCAACAGAGTCAGACTCAGCCTGCCATTCAGGGGCGAAGCTGGTGTGGTGAGCGATGACAAACGACGTAAGTGGCCGCCCATACAACGCTTGGGCAGGGCTCCGGCCGTGGCTGCGTGGAGTATTGCGCCACTCCAGCAAGCCACGTTGGAAGAGGTCGATGTCGAGGTTGCCATTGACAGTCGTCTTGGCAATCAGCAGCTTCATAGCTTTGACAGCCGATTCGGCATGTCCGTTGGATTGCGGAAAGTGTGGCGAAGACGTGCTGTGGTCAACTTGCCAACGGCTACAGAAATCGGCAAATCGGCGAGAAGAGAACTGCGGGCCGCCATCTGTGGTGAGAACTCTAGGAACACCAGTGTCCGCGAACCAGCGGCGGAGGGCATGGATGACGTCCAAAGACGATGCTGTTCTGCCGAGTTTGGCGACGCACGGCCAACCAGTGTGGCGATCTGCATAGACGAGGAACTCCCATCCTTGACATGAGAAGAGGTCAGCACTAACGGACTCGAATGGGAGAGTGGGGCGACGATCTTCGGTAACACGGAGGGGCTCCTTGCATTGGGATGGGGCATGCAGCCGGCACATCTCACAACTGCGGACTGTGTTAGCGATGTCGTTAGAGATGTTCGGCCAGAACACAATTTGGCGGGCACGACGTTGAGCACGGGTGAGACCTTGGTGTGCTGCATGCAGGTCCTGGAGGACACGAGAACGTAAGGCACGAGGAACGACAACACGTTGGCCCTTAAGGACGAGATCACTGTCCACAGAGAGGTGCTCACGGACTGTCAAGTACGGCTTGACAGCAGGGTCGGCATTAGCCGAATTTGTCGGGAAACCATGACGAACGGCGTGCACGAGTGCTCGATAATCAGGGTCAGCTCTCGCAGCTTCTAGTAGTTTGCTGAAGCGGAGATCGACGCTACGGCCGCCATCATCTTGGCGTAGGCAAGCGCGAACAGCGGGCGCACTGAGGGCTGGATTCTCGCCAAATTCTTCATCACTGTGAGGCGTGTCAACTGGATGGCGAGAGAGAGCGTCGGCAAAGGCATTGTCGGTGCCTTTGCGCCATTTGGCAACGAACTGGTACGGGCGCAGCTTCAGTGTCAAACGCTGCAATCGGGGGTTCTCGATCTGGTCAAGAGAATACGAATTCAGGATCGGAATTAGTGGGCGATGATCAGTACAGAGCTCAAACGGTGCACCGGACAAGAACAGGGAACACTTGTGTACGGCCCATACAGCTGCTAGCAGCTCAAGCTCGATGACTGCGTAGCGTGTTTCAGCGTCCGAGAGAAAGCGACTGCCACATTGAAGCAGGCGCCACTTGTCGTCTTGGAGTTGCCAAAGAGCG